CTAACTTCTAATATCCTTCTACTCATTTGTATAATCTGAAAAAGAAATAAAACAGAATAAATCCATTTATCAATTTTTTTTAACCCGGAAGTATAGCAGATTATTTCTAATACAAGCACCATCTTTGAATGCCACTATCTGGGTGCCACTGGCAGGGCCTGCAGCTGGCATAGAAGAAAGAGAGATGGCAGCAGCAGACCTGGGCACATGGGTCACCCTCTAATGCTGAACAGGAAGACGGTGAAGCTCCCCAACCATGGTGAGTCCCAGGGCCCCGGAAACCCCCAGACAAGGACAGGTGTGTGGCCTCTCTGATTAGGTCAGAAGAGGCTGGCCCTGCACTCCAGGCACCGAGTGTCCCCAGACTCTAGGGCTAGGCTGTATACCACCAATGTTTCTATTCTGCAAAAAACAATGGCCTCTTGCCACGGGGAGAGGAGGCCATGGGGCCATGGAGCTATAGCAAATAACACAGGTTGGGCTCAGGATGTGGATGCTAATCATCCCAAATGTCATTGTGGCTATTAAAACTCCAAATGGAAAGTCAGACCCTTTCCTGGAAGCATACATTAAGTCAGGTCCCTGTGGTTTCTCCCAGCAGCACCCTTATTGGGGTAGAATTTAGCCTTGATCTTTCCCCAGTTTACCCTCGCCTGTTTTTAGTTTTTCCTCTGCCCACCTCAATAAATTCACTGAGAAAGCAAAGGGTGGAAGCCACTCTTTTTGAGGGAAAAGAACTCTCTCTGAGAACTCTTACCAAGGGCAAGTTCTCACCCAAACACCACCTCTGTCTTACATACCACGCAGATGCCAGACTTGTTTCAGATGGAGACCCAAGGCAGTCAGTGGGAGGGGACACACAGGGAACAATATAGAGTGCTTCCTCCTGAGGGTTTGTATGGGAAGAGTCCAGGGCAGAGAGACCTGGGGGCAGAAGGACAGAACAGAGGAGGAGGAAACTTCCAAGTGGTGAAGGCACCAGGAGGCTGAGTGCAAACCCCTTCTTTCAGGATGGAGCAGCATCCAGGCCCAGCATCTGAGTTCCCCAGACACAAGTCAGTCCAGGCTGGGCCATGAGAGGCTGGACAGATTCTGAAGCAGATGCCTGCTCAGGGTGTGGTGGGGCTGAGAGCAGGGTGTGGAAACAGAAGCGAAGGGGCCCAGCAGGAGGTGTCCCACCCAGAGACGAGGGAGGGACGGGAGCTAAATGGCACATTCTTTGGGTGGTTATTGGGCAATTCTGGATCAATGTAGACACCAGAAGCATGAACTTCTTTACTGTACACTACAATTACAGGAACTAGGAAATGATTTTTAAAAAATCTTATCTGCTTTGCAATTGTCTTACCTCCTCTACCACCACCACACACCATTCTAGGACGAGGGACTTGGTGTAGGTTCCAGGCACATGGAGTGTGTGTGTGTTAGAATGTGTCAGACTCATTCAGCATAAGCCCATGGGCATGTGAGGGGTGTTGGGGGTGGGGAGTGAGGGTATGATGAACGTGGACCATTTTGGCAGTAGGTAGTGATCTTTGGATAGGAGTCTGTTCGCTCAGTCATCCCTGTTACAGAGGTACCCGCTGTGCCCTGGGGAAATTCTCCTGCTATGGCCCCCATTTGTCCTCTTTGACCTCCTTCTTCTGGTTGACTCAGGAATATCCAAGGGACCCAAGAGTCGTTAAGATGCTGGAAAGTCTAGGAACCACTTTTCAGTCAGGGCCAGGCTTAAAGTCCCTGCACACCCAGCAGATGGGGAAAGGGAACTGCCAGCACATAGGGCTGCCTGTTAGTCACCTCTGAAGGTGATGGGATGCAATTGAGTGCAATCTATTGAAGTATATTTGTTTTCAGAGGTTTGTTAGTGTCTGTGAGCTTAGCTTTGAGCCAACGCCTCTCTGGGTTTCATTTTCTATACCAAACCATGTTCCAGACTCTGTAGAGAGGGTAGTACCCCCAATACCAGCTCTATATTTGTCCATCTATCCATGGTGAAGGGGAAGACACATCTCTTTTAGAGCCCCAAAGCCCGGAGTTATCATCGACTTCCTTTCCATAAAATGAGCACACACATCTTTTTCTGTTAATATTGTTGGTTGTAAGGATTAATATATTTATGGACCTAAAAAAAATATTACATACTATGAACTGTTATAAGAATGAAAGCCATTTATTTTGTCATTGTTACTTGGGTTGTGTCTTAGTTATTTATCTTGTTGTTGAGAGAGTATCCGATACCCACAGTTAAAGGAGGATCTTTTATTTGGTTCACAGTTTATAGACGGTTCAGTCCATAGCTGCCTGGCTCCAAGATAGGGTGGCTGGGCAGAGGGACATTGCAGAGGAGAAAGAGTCCACAACAAGCAGGCAGGCAAGAAGGCAGCAAGTTCAAGTGACCTTAGGAGCTTTTTTCTGCCTCTGTTATATTCTACCTAGGCTACTGGGTTTAGGGCAGTACCCAACTAATCAGTGTGCTGATTTAGTAATCACATGCACTTAATCCCAGCATCACACCACTCTAAATCTAGCCACCTCTGAAAAACCCCCACCTATGAGTGCATTTGGCTTTGGGAGGACATCTAGACACAAACCATAAAAGGCAGGACTATTTGAAATTGAACCCTGTCAGTACCGGAGAGGTATCTTGTCTCAGGGTCTCTGCGTCTCGTAGTAGAATCACAGACTTTGGAGTCAGATGCACTTGGGGTTCCAGTCAGACTCTGCTGATTCCTAGTTGAGAGATCGTGGGTAAATGAGAGCACTGTGCTGAGCCTCAGCTTCCTTGTCCGTGAAACAAGCACTGCAATGGTCACTTGACCTTGGGAGAGAAACTCACACTTCTGCCCCTTGCTTGCCTGTCTATCAGAGGAGCATAACAAGGGCTAACAGGCAGGTTTGTGGGCCCGAGGTGAGGCAGGTGTGCAGGGCACCTGTCCTGTGGTCAATGTACAGTAGCAGTCTCTGTTCTTATTGCTCCATTCTTGCTTCTGCTCCCTTCCTATCTTGGACTTTCAGGGAGCAGTTTAGCTTTCCACGAGCAATTTAGCTTTCCATGAGCAAGACTTCCCTCCTCCTGGGTGGGATGGGAGTGGAGCAGTTCACACAGTTGCCATCTGCTCGGGATAACTTTCTACACTGTCCATCCCATAGGATCTCCCACAACATCCCTGCTTAAATCTCTCCCTTGCTCACTGTTGACTTAAGGAGGAAATACATAGGGTCTGGGACACTTGCCTGGTCCCAGATACCAGACTCTCTAACCAGGCCAACCCTGTATCAGGTCAGAAAGTCACCCCATAGGACCCTGTTTATACACTCCAGCTCCTTGCAATGCAGATGCCATGTTCTCTTTTTTTCCTCCCTGTCCAGTCCCACCCCTCAGGCAGGTCCTTGCCACCTTGTGATGCCACCTTCTGCCTGGAGTGCACAAGGACCTGCAGTGGGAATAGCTTCCTTCACTTGCTGACTCCTCACATGGAGAGTCTCCAAGGATGAGGCTGGACCATATCAAGTTCTTCCTCCCCACTGGAAGCCCTGGCCTAAAGAATATATTGAACTAGGTCAGTGGAAGCATGAGCTATGTGAAGGTACCTGGGAATTATTCAGCAGATACATTTAATGTCACACCGCCTGCTCAGCCTCTGCTATCAGTGTGATGTCATGGGGCTGCCTGGTCAAAGTTTTCCTTCTCCTGTGCATTTCTCACCTTTTCCTCATTAACCTTGAAGAAACAAGCAGGCTTAGCTCAGAGATGTGAATAATCTTTGACCCCCTCATCAAGGTGTTTTCTCAGCTTTTCACTGAGAGATCTTGGTCGTGCTCAGGAGCCATGCTTTGCCCTATTTCTGCAACTCCTTTTCCCGGCCATCTTGGCCAAATCCCTTGTCCTCAGGTCCTGCCAAGCCACCTTCCTTCCTTATCTTCCTCCCTGTTTCTCTGCCTCTCTCCCAACTCCAGTAGCCCAGACCTTACCTTGCATTTCTTCAGAAACAACATGGGGGAGGCCCTGGCCTCTGCCCTTCTTCCCCAAGGTTGAGGCAGAGCCATTCAACAGGGGATACCAACCCTCCTCCAGAAACCAGAACCTAGAACCCAGAATCCACAACCCAGAACGCAGAACCCAGCAGTGACAGACTGCAAACACCTGAGCAGACATCTTCTCAAGTTCCCTGATACCATCACTTCCTTGTCTCTGGCCCCTTATCTTGTCTGAAGCGTGAGGGATCAAGAGTTTTCTGCACTCTTTTCTGAAGTCACTAGGGAAAAGGAGAGAGGAGGGAGCAGTGTAATCATTTGGGGAACTGAAGAACTCCTGGGGCTGAGCAGTGGCATTTCTCTGACTCTTTCCTGGGCCTGAGCCTGGAGCCCCACGAAGAGGCTGAGGCAGCCTGGCAAGGTGAGAGCCTGAGCTGTGTGGCTGACCCCTTCAGCCTGTGGCTCCTCCCCCATCTGCCCTGCACTATGGCGATGTCTGGGCGTCTGTGCCTGCTCCATCCACCCACTCCCTGGGCTCTGCAGGGCAGATGAGCGCCTTGTAGGTCGTCTTAACGCCCCTTCCAGAGGGCACTACGTGCCTGCAGGCTCAGGGAGCTCTGTGTCAGAGCTCGGCTGCGGAGCTCTTCCTCCCTCCCTCCCTTCTCATCCTTCATCTTTATTCGTTCTTCCTCTTCTCCCTTTCTCTACTCTTTTGCCCCTACTTCTCCATCTCTTCTTCCGGCCTTTGCTCTTTTTCCACTTTCTTCTTCCTTCTGTCTTTCTGTGTCTCTATCTCTCTTACACAGACACAAGCACATATATTTTAGCTGAAAAAATTTGGCACTTATATCATTTTCATTAATTCTCTCCTTGGTCAAGTGTTATTATGCATTCATTTTGAACTTCTCCACCCCCACTGAAAAGCAAGTATGTGAGTGTGTGCGTGCGTGTGTGTGTGTGTGTGTGTGTGTGTGTGTCAGTGGGAGAATTTAAACTAAAAATAAGCCCATTATTCATAGTTTCCATTAACGATAGTTTATTTCACAACACATTGCATCAGTATTGTGACAGGGAATACACAACATTATGTCTGGGAATACAATAGTGAATAAGTTTGGCACCATCTTTGCTTTTGTGGTGGTTAAAGTCTGCTAAGGAAAACAAATATTTAAATAAATAACTGCATTAAAGTGCAGAGCATGTAATAAAAAAAAGATATAAATGATCTAGAAACATAAAGCAGATATTCCTGAACCTAGCTCTGCAATCAAGGAGTACCCTCCATGCAAGCTCACACACACACACACACAAATATCTGATCTTCAGACTGACACCAATAAAGTGAATAAAACTTACAAAGATAAAAAGGGAATTATTGCAGGGATCTAGTAAGGTTGGTAAGCCACAATGTCAAAGAGAAGGAGGATAACTATGAGGAATTAGAACTAATTCATCTTGGAGAATAATGTACTGGAGAAGAGAGAAAAAGAAGAAGTTATCTGGGGTGAGTTCAAGGGTGGGGCTCCCGAAAGATCATAGTTGCTTCTGGGTGCAGGGTAGACTCTGAATTGGAGAAGATCACAACTGCATACACGGAGAGTAACAGGTGGGAACATAGTCCTATAAAGCAGGAGGACAATGTGTGGCCCATTTTAGAGGAACAGCAGCAGAGCATGGACAGACAGAAGCAAATAGGATGTTTTGAAAATGTTATACTGTCAAACAAGCTTTAAAATACATTAAGTGAGACAAGCAAGAACTATTGTTCTATATCCTATGATACTATGATGAAAAATTCTATCTGCACACATGTCATTAGGTACACAGATAAATTTTTACAGAGATAAACAGTGGATTTTATTCATACATGTTCCCTGAGGAAAATTCCTGAGGGGCTGGAGCAGAAGTAGGAGAGCTTCATTTCTGTCTAATCAAAATTAGGTATTTTTTCAGAAAAGATGTTTTTGAGATAAATATCCATAAGACTTGTAGTTCCTTGGTATGAGAACACAGGCAGAAGTACTGAGGGCTGATACGAGGATTTTGGTTCAGTCAACTTTGTCTGTCATGGTGTCACTCGCTTATTTGGTCAGGAACACCAGTGAAGGAACAGGTTTGGTGAGGAAGAGCAGGTTTGGTGTTCAGTTCATGACATATTGAGTTGGAGATGCCTACACATAATCCAGGCAGAGCAGACCAATAGATGGGTGTCCACGCTGATCATGCCTGGGGCTCAGGAGACAGATCTAAACTAGTGAGAGGTGCTTGAAAATCACAAGCTTATATGTGGTACCCTATGAAAGCAGGTGTGACAGCCCAGGCAATGAACAAAACACAGTGCCACTAATGTGTGCACCAGTATATTGTCTTTTTGTGTGTGTGAATGTGTGTGGTCCCTTGCTCTTGGGCATGCAGCTCTGAGTTTACGTATCTGAATGAAATTTTTTGTGGTTTCACAAATCCCCTTGACCTCCTTGTCAGTCAGCACAACAGTCTTCTTAAAAGTAGTTGTGGCTTTTGTTGGAGGTGATGATAGGGCTGAGATAAGGCATAGGAGCTAAGGACAATAGGGAGGCTGTGTATGAGGCCTCAAAATGGGCATCTTGGTTCCAAATTTTCTTCCTAACAGAGACGTTCAGTCCTTTATTATTGTTGCATAGTTCACAGCTCAGCATAGAGGCAAAGAGTGTGTATGGAGCATGACAACCTCAGAGTACAAGGCCAGAGATTTTGCCTTCAGGCTCTGCAATGGTCACCTGCAATACAGACACCTGAAGGCTAGAGTAGGGAAGGTCTTCTAGAAGAAACCATTGGACCACTGGAACACACAAAGGCATAGTTCACCACCCATATTAAAAGCACACCAGGATGAAAATGAGATGCAAAACCTTCCAACTGCGACCCTCAAAAAGCCATGATCAGGCAACTCCACGACAGTAAAAAAATTCAATATAAGGCAACAAACTTGAATAAACATTGTCTAAAACTTTATAAAAGTCTCATAAATAAGGATGAGAAATTATGCTCAAAATCTTTACTCTTTAGGGATGAGCAACTCAAACCTATAATGAGATTATAAGAGAATACACAGTGGTGAAATGTGGAAAAAACTATTGCAATTTCTCAGACATAGAATTGCCCAGTGATCCAGTGATTCCATTTGCAGGTTTATTACTGAACATATTGAAAGCAGGAACTTCAATAGGTAAAGTCCCATTTTTATAGCAACCGTATTCACTATACAAAAAAGTGAAAGTAAAGAACCCAGGTGTACATTGGTAAATGAATGAATAAACAAGACGTGTGTGTTTGTGTGTGCGTGTTTGTGGTGTGTACAGAAAGAAACATCATCTGTGCTAAAAAGAAATGAAATTCTGATACCTGCTACAGTAGATCAAAACCTTGATAATATTAAACAAATAAGCTAGACACAATAGGACCGACATTGCTTGGTTGTACTTCCGTGGAGTACATAGAAAAATCCAATTCATAGACAGAACAATGTTGATTATCAGAGACTTGAGGGCATAACAGTGGAGAATTATTGCTTCATGAGTGTAACTTAGTTTGTGATAATGAAAAGTTCTGTACGTGAAGAATGGTATAGTTGTATAATAATGTGAATGTATTTCATGCCACTGAATTGTACATCTATAAAAGACTAAAATGGTAAATTTTATATTTACATATTTTACTACAAAAGAGAAAATTTAAAGAAAGCAAGGATAAAGGACCTTTCTTCTTGCAATTTTCTAGTTGGTTTGATTGCTAGAGAGAGATAGGGTCCCAATGGGTTTAGTAAAATAAGAAAGGCCACAACCTCTATGCAATGCTTGACTCTTCCCATATTAGGTCCTTGGCAGTCAGACAGGCCCCACAGCTTGCTACCTTCTGGTAGCTGTCTGGTCAGAAGAGAAATGCTCAGGCATTGATTACCCTCCCTTCCTCATGGGTTTAATCACCAAGTTCAAGTTTGTTCAAAAAGATACCTGCTTTTCTCAAGGTATGAGATTTTCAGGTACTTGTAAGATGTATGCTTCAATACACGACCATTTCCCATCTCCAGAGATGCTGATGGGATGGATGAGATAAGACCTTCTAGGAATTACTCTGTTTATACTGCTGTGTGATTACCAGGCATGAAAGTTAGGTAACTGCATAAGTAGACATCTCCTTCTCTGTCCCACCACAGGTCATGAATAACAGGAATCCTAATCAGAAATTGTACACCTCCTCTCCATCCCCCTCACCAAAGTCCAATCCAAGATTCAAGTGTCCCAGTGTGTTTCGACGAAGGATCTCCCAGCCCCAGTGACTGCTGCTGCTCTGGGATGTGTTCCTGGACAGGGAGGGGCTCTGGAGGACCAGGGAGGCTCTGGTCAGGGTCTCACTCTCATTCACAGAGGGCTGTTTCTCAGAAAGCTGCTCTTGTTCCTCCTCCTTGTCTGAGCTTTTAAACGCTTCCACATAGCGAAGCACTCGCAAAGGATTCTGATCCTGGTGGTTTTCAACCCTGGTAGGGGAAAGTAGAAAGAACTCAGTTAACGTGGGGAGGGATGACGGACCACAGGTAGACACAGAGATGAGTGTGGAGGAAACAGGATCGTGAGTAAAGTGAAAGACAGGAGCAGATTTAGCAGGAAGAGGAACTGGGGCAGGTAAGGTGAAGAGTATTAGAGCAGAGACAACGATGGGGATGAGATGAATGAAATAGGCTGAACAGGCAGGATTTGGAGGGGAAAGTCTGCTGCCCAATACGTGAAAGTGTAGAGAAAATAAGGACAACCAAGATATATGAGTAACACAAGTTTGAGAGGATGTAATTCAGGAAACGCATGTGAGGAGGACAGAGAGCCAGGTCAAAAGACAAGAAGTATGAAGGGCGGAGTTAGATTCAAGGCCAAGCAATACTGGAAATGGGGGCCAGGAGGCAAGAAGACTGAACAACGCTGTATACCCCTGAACTTGAGCTCTTACTGAGTGCAGTCACATACACATAACCTTGCACACATGGCTGTCCTGAGGTGCATTCCTAGTAATTCCTTAATTTCAGGTCCGCTTTTTCTAAGACAGGGGCATACAGATTGCCCACACTACCACTGCCGAAGACACCTGCAGGTCACATGTATCCATGGTCATTCACCTCAAGAACCATCGGTCCCCCAGGCCATAATCGCACCCACAGATGCCCGAGCGGGGCCACAGAAAGCGGGGCATCTTCCTTTCCAGCAGCACCGTGGTGGCCACGACCTGGAGGGAGGTGACAGGTAGAGAAAAAGCTTAGAAACAATCATGAAGTTCAGAGACAGGGGGAAAAAAAGGGAACCTAAAGCAACCCGTGAAATGCAGACCCCAGAGACCAGTAGTGAGGGTCACTATCTGTGCACCTCTACCCTGCTTTTCTCATCAGAAAAAGGATGACCTTTCATGCATTAAACTGAAGAATGACTCCCCCATTATCATTCAGATTCGTGGAAAATGAGTCATTTCAAACTGATCTCTTTTTCTTCCTCATAGGAAAGCCACGGAGCAATGATCTTTTTTTTTTTTTTTTTTTTTTTTTTTCTCCGGTACCGGGAACCGAACTCACGACCTTGCGCTTGCCAGGCAGGCGCTTTGCCGCTGAGCTAAATCCCCAGCCCCCAATGATCTTGATTTAAATAAAATGATTAAAGAAACCAGTATGATCTCAGGGATGAAATGGTGCTACTCCAGTTCAGGAAATTTGCAGTAATGTAGACATCTACATGTTAGAATGGAAAATTGTCAATCAGTGGCTGCATACTTGGCAGGGAAATTTCTAGCACCGTGGCTATGTTCTGCTCTTTGCCTGGCCCTCATTAACCAGCTAGATGAAGCACAGCTTATCTAACGTCCCTGTGGCCATACGACTGGGAAGGGAAATAACGTGTGGGGTGAAAAAAGCAGTAAGATCTGATCTCCCCAAACCAGAATTTTCAAACCAATGTTATGAAATTTTCAAACAATGTTTTCAAACAATGGTACAACGTTTTCAAACCAATGGTATGAAATTTAAGAAATTGCAAATACGAAAGTATTTTATTTACATTTATGACGCTGACTTAAATAAATTGTATTTTAAAAATTTTAGTTAATTGTAAGCATGGAGAGAAGCAATTACATATTTGGTGAAAGACTTAATTTTATTTTATGTTTTTTATTCTTTTTTATTTTAAAGAAAATAAAAATAAAAAAACATTAGAAACAACGCAGAATTTCAAAAAACAAGACGATAGGAATTTGACAATGGTGGTTATAGTGCATACTGTTGTCTTGGAAGTAGTTGTTCAGATCACCACATACAAGCATGGAAAATTGGGCAAAAATTAAGCATTAACTGTTCCTTTTAGAAATTAGTAGTACAATTATTTTAACTATCTTGTGCATATATATATATATATATATTTTTTTCCCTTCCTTCTTTCTTTCTTTTCTCCTTTCCCTTATCCTAGTTGTTCTTTCCTTTTGAGCGATATCTATTGTACCTTTCACAATATCTATTGTACCTTTCAGATTTTATTTACTCTTTCAGGTTCTTAGGGAGGCAATATGATGTTTATACATGCAAGACTGATTTATTTCACATGTGAGTATGGTCTCTAGTTGCATCCATTTACCTATGAAAGCCTCGAGTTTATCTTTCTTGATAGCTGAGTAATACTCCACTGTAAAAAAGTACAACTTTTTTATCCATTCCTCAGTAGATGGGCATTTGAGTTGTTTCCAAGATTTAGCTTTGACAAATTGCACTGCTATAAACATGGGTGCACATATATCACTGTGGTATGATGTTTTCAGTTCTTCTGGAAAAATACCCAGAAAGGGAATAGCTGTGTTGAATGGGAACTCTAATCCTAGTTTTCTGAGGAATCTCTACACTGATATCCACAGTGGTTTCACCAATCTACACTCCCACCAACAGTAGATAAGCATTCCTTTTTCCCTACAGCCCCTCCAACATTTGTTATTGGTTGACTTCTTGATGATAGCCATTGTTTCTGGGGTGAGATGGAGTCTCAGTATTGTCTTAATTTACATTTCTTGAATGACAAATGATGTTGAATATTTTTTCATATATTTGTTTGTCATTTGTATTTCATCATGTGAGAAGTGTGCATTCATCTCAGATGCCCATTTTTGATTGGGTCTTTGAATTTTGGGTGCCTGATTTTTAAAAGTTCTTCAAAATGTTCTAGATAGAAGTCCTTTATCTTAGGGACACTTAGCTAAAACTTTTTCCCAATTCATGGGTTTTCTTTTTACTCTGTTGGTGATTTCTTTAGATGTGCAGAAACTTTTCAATAAGATAAGATCCCAGTTGTTGATTCTTTGAAGTATTTCCTATGTGCAGTTTGGTTTTTGTTTATGAACTCTCTGCCTACCCTGTGTCTTCAAGATTTCTACCCACTTTCTGTTCCAGTAGATTTAGTGTTTTTGGTTTAATATTTAGACCTCATTCTGATAAAAAGCTATCTATGACAAAACAACAGCCAACATGGACAAAAATTGAAAGCTTTCACTTTAAAATCAGGTACTAGGGCTAAGGATATAGCTCAGTGGCAGAGCGCCTTGCTTGGCAAGTGCAATGTCCTGAGTTTGATTCCTATACCAAAAAATAAAATAAAATAAAATAAAATAAAATAAAATCAGGAACAAAGCTGGGTGTGGTGGCACATGCCTGTAATCCCAGCACTCAGGAGGCTGAGGTAGGGGGATTCTTGCGAGTTCAAGGTCAGCCTGGTCTACAAAGTAAGCTCAAGTTCAGCCTGAACTGCATAGGGAGACCCTGTCTCAAAAAGACAAAAATAAAATAAAATAAAATAAAATCAAGTCAGGAGCAAGACAAGGATGTTCCCTGTCACTACTCCTATTTTATATATTTCTGGAAATATTAGCTGGAGCAATTAAACAAGAGAGAGAAATAAAAGGAATATGATAGGAAAGAAGTGAAATTATCATTATTTGCAGATGACATGATACTCTACATAGAAGACTGCAAAAACTCCACCAAAAGACTTGTAGATCTAATAACCAAATTCATTAGTGTAGCTGGATACAAAGTCAACACTCAAAAATCAATAACATTCCTGTACACAAGCAACAAACACACTGAGAGACAAATTAGGCAAACCACACCTTTCATAGTAGCATCCAAAAAAATCAAATACTTAGGAACCAATCTAACAAAGGAAGTAAAAGATCTATACAGTGAAAATTACACTACTCTAAAAAAAGAGATAGAAGAGGACTTCACAAAATGGAAAGATGCTCCTTGCTCATGGAGAGGAAGAACCAGCATTGCGAAAATGGCCATACTCCCAAAATTGTTATACAGACTCATAGCAATCCTGATCCAAATACCACTAGTATACCTCACAGATCTAGAGAAAACATTCCTAAAGTTCATCCTGAGCCACAAGAGACCTAGAAAAGCAAAAGCAATCCTGAGCAACAAAGGAAAGGTAGGAGGCATCACAGTCCCTGACTTGAAATTACACTACAAAGCTACTGTGATAAAATCAGCATGGTATTGGCAAAAAACAGACTTGAGGATCAGTGAAACAGATTAGAAGATGCAGACACAACTACAAACACACTCTGCCACCTTATCTTTGATAAAGGGGCCAAACATGTTTACTGGAAGAAAGATAGCCTCTTTAATAAATGGTGCTGGAGAAACTGGCTTTCCACATGCCAAAGACTAAAACTAGACCCATGTCTATCACCATGCACTAAACTAAAGTCAGAATGGATCAAAGAAAGACTTAATTTTAGAAGTTATGAACAGTGGTAAAGTGAGGAAAAATATGAGCTCTGTGTGGGCTATATTGTTTCTATCACATCAGGGACATTTTAGTTTCCAAAGGACCATGACCTACTGGCACAGGGACAGAGTATAGTCAGGATGGGATGAGGCCACAAAGTTGTATTGACTGAAGGAACTGACAGTTCTTTTTCTTTTTTTTTTATGGGTTGAACATTTTATGAGACTTTTATTTTAGCCTCAATGCTAAGAATAGAAGAGCAATCATAGATTCGATGTACTATGTTATTTTCAAATCCACACCAAAACACATTAGCTGACAGTTCTCAAAATAGCCATTTCCCTGTTACGTTCTTCCACTCTCTGGCTGTCTCATTACTTCACGCTCAGTTTTTTTAGTTGCTACAGGTTCCCTCCTTCCTCCAGACTTCCAGTCATACTCTTCTCTTTTCTGGATAGCTTCTCTTTTCTGGATAGCTCCTCTTTTCCTCAAACAGGATTTTTATGGTTCTTCTGTCATGATTCAGCCTCCCTTTCCTTTGGGTATCAGAATCCACCTTTCTTGTTTTTTTTTTCTTAATTTTAGAAATAAAAGAAGGAAAATACTAACAGACCGACAACATTTTACAAAATAGCATAGGATCAGTATAGACATTACAGAGTTACAAACAGAGTGATAGGGAATTAACAATGCTTATTGTATTACATATTGATATCTTCAATGTAGTTTCTCATGAAAACACATATAGACACACAAAGCTAATCAACCAATGCCTCACTGACAGTTTCTTTCAGCAAGGAAATACAGGACAGTAGAACACCCGTGTTAACTATCCTGCATATACATATATACAAACTTTCTCCTTCTTTCCCTTCTCTTTTCCCATATCCCAGTTATCCTTTACCTATGAGTGCTTTCCTTTCAATTCTCAATGTCTATCATATCTCCTAGATTGTATTAACTCTTTCAGGCTTTACACTAGAGAAACAATGCGGTGCTTGCACATGTATGTTTGATTTATTTCGCTTATGAGTATGGTCTCTAGTTGTGACCATTTGCCTATCAGAATCCACCTTTCCTTTTCCACTGGGAGTTTGCTGGTTAGAGCAGATGGGGCTGAAGACGGGGCTGAATCCGGTCATTGTATGTTAATCTGTTCTCTTCAGTAGACTGAGGAAAGGAGACCTCACTGTCATTGCTGCTGCCAGTACCACTCTAGTCTTTGGTTTTACCTGAAATTCAAAGATGGATCTAGGATCCAACCTCACTGCCAGGACATCAGACTGAGGCAGAACTTTCTGGTGTTTAAGATGCCCCTTGAAAGCTTACAGCATTGCACCGCCTTGGGAGATTCAGTGGATGCAATACCAATGAGGCCCTTGGGATTGTGCAATACTGAGCATCTATTCATTCCTTCTGGAGTTTGGAGCTTCTATAAATTAGCCTGGCAGCATGAGGGCAGAGCTTTTCTTAGAAAAAGGAGTCATGAGGAAAGAGAACAGGACAGGGAAACCCACAGAATGTGTGAGATGGAGATCTGGTTCTGGCCAGACCTCCTTAAAGGTGGTTTAATTCTCTAAACTTTCCTCTTATGAAAATCAATTATTCCTCTTTCTATTACTAAAAGAAAAAGTCTGTTTGAGTTTGGTTTTCCATCCCTGTAGTCATGAGTCTTCATTGCTATAAACTCTGACCTCTATCCTTCCCAGTCAGCTAACTCTTACCCATTTTGACGAGTTTAATGTTAACTGCCATTACCTATCATTCCAGTTAAACTCAGGCTTTGCATCCTCCTCTTAGCTGCTTGTCCTTCTCTGGGCACTTTTACCACTACAATAGTGCAGCCTTTTATGGAGTCATTTACTTTGTGTCTGTCTTTCCATGAAAATGTGGGTTGTGCCACTACTCCCCATCGGTGGTGAACCTATGGCATGTGTGTTGTTTCTATTTTAAGATAAAAGATGTTAACATACGAGTTTTTTTTTTAAACTAAAACTTTGTATTTGATTTTAATTGCAGCGTTGGCACTTTCCAATAAGTAAGTGGGTTTTGGGTTGCATTTTGGGCGCTGGTCTCTAAGTGGCTCACCATCAGGCTCCTGGACATTCCACAACCCACAGCATTCTCTGAAGGATATCGCTATATGACAAGGAAGTCAGAGTGGTAATGCACACACAGAAGGATGTGCTTTATGGAAAGGGAGGGAAAATGTTCTGGGGCCAAAGAATGGAATTATAGGAAGGTAGGTCTCAGTTTAATAAACATTATCTTAGTTACTTTGTCACTGCTAAGACAAAATACTAGATACCCACAAGTTAAAGGAGTGAAAGTTTATTTCGGCTTATAGTCCATAGTTGCCTGGCTCCAAAGCAAGGTAGCATGGTAGAAGGGAATGGCAGATGAGAAACAGTTCATGGCAGAGCAGGCAAGAAGCTGCAAGCAGCAGCAGCAAGCCTCCCTTTCCCTTTTATCCCATCCAGGCTTTAAGCCTTTTGGGTGGTGTCAACTATATCCAGAGTGGGGCTTCTCATTACCCACACCCAGAACTCTGCTAAACTAATCAGTGGACTAATTTAGTTATCACACCTCTAACGATCTTCACACATCCTTAATATATATTCACATACCCTAGATCCAGCCACCTCCAAGAAGCCCCACCTATGAGCACATGAGGATTCAGGGGGACATCTAGGTATAAGCCGTAACAAACGTGAATCTATCCAACAACAAAAACTTTCAAAGTAGAAAAATTTCCCTTCCTCAGCTCCTGTTCACACATGCAAGATAACAAGGTCTTAATTAGCATTAAAGAAGACAATAGCAAAAGCGCCTGCCTGGCAAGCACAAGGTCGTGAGTTCGGTTCCCGGTACCAGAGAAAAACCAAAAAAAAAAAAAAAAAAAGAAGACAATAACCGTCCCTCTGACCAGTAAATGATTCTGTTGAGTAGTTAGAGTTCTTCTAAGTGTAACTTTTAACTTCTATTTTATGATGATACAAAGAAAAGATCATGGAGAACTAGAGTTTTCTCGAATCAAATAAAAGATAAGGTCCAAAGTTAAAGGATAGAATATACAAGAATAGAATAATTTCTAGTCTCCAAGGGATTCAAGGAACAATAGTGGATCTACTTTTCACCTGTGACTAATAGTACCATTTCTGTCTATCTTCCCTTTGATCTGCTTCTGCCCCTTCCACCCATCTATGTGTACTTGAGGATTATATAAACCTTACAGAGCTGATAGACCCACCAAATTATTCTGTGACTTTCCTAAGAGTGGCCCATCAGAACATACCTCACTTTGACTTTTCTCTCCAAGCCCTGATGCTTAACAAGGCTGAGACTAATCAACTCACCTGGGCCCTCCAGAGCTCATCCCGCTCCTGGGCCACTCTCCAGTGGGTGTCGCCCATCATGGCGATGAACAGGTTGAGCATGAGCAGCGTGGCGATGATGGCGAAGGCAGCGTAGGTGATGCTGTACATGAAGGGCAGATCCACATCGTAGTTGGCAGGGCCGTCGATGATGGTGAGGAACAACTCAAAGGTGCTGAAGAGTGCTGTGGGGTAGTTAGAGAACTCCCCCAGACTGGATGGGTCCTCTGTCTGGAAGATGATAAAGAATGCTGCTCCGCCCAGGAAAAGGGCGTGGAGATGAGGAAATAGAAATATCACCATAAGCATGGGCCTGGTTAGCATTCATTCTACCTGGTTTGCATCCTCTCTCTCTCTCTGTCTCTGTCTCTGTCTCTCTCTCTCTCTCTCTCTCTCTCTCTCTCTCTCTTGCTCTCTCTCTGTGCATTTACACACATGTCTACATAATTACACATCCACAAAGGGAGTTACTTGTAGAACCAACACTAAGATGTCTTATGACTAATTTGATTATATGAGTAATGATAGTTAATATTCAGCCATGAATTTTTATGAAAAAATTATGTGTGCATAATGTATATGCATAAGAAGTCACCTAACAGGTTCTTACACTTCTGGAAACTGAATTTTTGAAAGATAAGTTATTAAAATAAGCATGGAGCCTCCAAATTTTTAAAGAACAGAGCACATGTAAAGGGTAAAAGAATGTTACCACCTTCATCTTGATGACCTCTAGATAGCCATTCATCAGTCTGAGCTTTCCAAGGGGAGCCTGGATCATCACCATCCCTGATAAATTACCCTTGCTCACTGTGTAGCCTATTAGATGCTTGCTGGTACTCTGAAAACTGAGGACATCACTAGACCCTTTCCATGGCTTCTCTTTTCATGGGGAACTGAAATAGCAACAAGATTTTAAGAGTAGAAATAGGCTGTACTACAAAGAACTGCTTCCTTGTTTAAGGAAAAATTAAGGAGACTAATCAAGAAGTGATCCTTTAGGGGACCAGGTACAAACATGAACAGGAAATCATGCTGTTGTCACTGCTCTGTCTTGTGGTCTGCATATGTGCAGAAGCAGTTGGAGCAGAGATGGGGAGGAAGGGCACAGGGGTTTCAGGAGAACAGAATATTCCAGACAGACTGCTATAGTTTTACACTTTCATGTGTTAGATCTGGCACTGAATAGGGAGATTTCTGGAGATAGTGTAATAAATCAAGTTCCTTTAGAACTAGCATCTTCAAAGCTCACACCTAGTGGATGAGCAGTTTCAGACCCAGAGGACAGGGTGAGAAACATCACCTTCCCCTTCCACCTCCCAGAACACTGCTCTACTCTTCTGTGTCCTCTCAGCGCACGCTCTCTCTGCCTGTCCTTTCGTGTGTTGCTCTTTCTTATTCACTGCTGCTCTGCTACATCTTGACTGAGTCACTGACTGTCCCAGCTGTTTTGGTCTCTCTTTCCCATTCTTCATCTTCTGTTTTCCTGTCGTGCTCACACTCTTCAAATTCTTTTTCTATACATTTTTTTCTGATATTTTCATTTTTTTCCTCAGCTTTAAATGAACACATACAGAAAAAAAGCACATTCTATCTTATTAACTTCTGTATGCTTCTTCTTCCAAACTATAAACAGAGGAAAACTTGAACTATTAAACCCTGAATTGTTCTTCTTTGCCCACATAATTTCATGACCTCTACAGCTGGCCAGCATTTCTTGTTCACATTCTCCATCTCCCCAGAGCTTTATCTCTATCTCAGGTAATTAAAGGACTTCCAGGGAGGCTGACCAGAGAATGCTATTGGCTCGGAACACACGAGGCTATTTTCTAGGCCAACCTGGATAGTTCTGAGCCCAAGGATAGGGATTATTTTTGAGCAGGAAACAACAGCAAAATAGAGTATAGATGAGAGCTGAGAAAATAATATAAATAAGCCTCCCTAAGACCTGGATCCAATATGCTGGATGAATTTATAGTGCTCTTACCTGAGGCAAATCCCAGGATGACCATAGCCATCAGCCAACAGAAACGCATTAGGTCCCCAAAAATCATCTACAGAAAACACAGGAGGAGAAGAAGGATGGGACCATTATTTTCTCCACTGTCTAAGCAGCTATTGCTAACAGATCAGGAGGTCCTCATAGCTCCACCAGCTCCGTTCCGAGCAGCCGCCCCTCTTTGCACTTGTGCCCATCCTCCACCTGGAAGGTCAGGGGCTGATCAGAGGGAGGTTTGGGAAAGCACTGACCTTCTGGATCATGATGGTGAAGGGGCCCAGCATCTGGAGTCCTCGAGAAAAGTACATGACACTGCACCAACCCAGTACCAGGGCCAAGGACAGGGGCACCACCTCCCCATTCACATTGGTGAGCCGCATCGCCATGGTCACAAGCACAAAGGAGGCATAGCTGATGCTGAGGGGAAGCAGGAAGCAAAGAGTGAGAGGTGGGCTGGGAATATTCTAGGTCCTGTAGAGCTGGGTATTGACTTGAGTGGTACCCACACACTCGGACTTGGTCTTAACACCTAAATCACACATACAGTCATGGACACAAGCCTACTGGAGAGAAATCCTGGAGTGAGGGCTACCTGAACTCTAGATGTCTGAGAAGAACTGGAGGTTTGAAGGAGGAGATACTCACATGATGACATGGAATGGGCCCCCGAGGATAGTCTGTCCAAAATAGCGAGACGCACCGACTCTGAAAATGTCTGTGATCTGGGGAGAGGCCAGTATAACACATACACAATGTGAACTGCACTTCATCTAAAGTCCTCCCATGATAGCCTTAGCCTGGAATCCCCGCCTCTCACCTCTATGATCAGAATAATCACAGCCCCAGTGACAGACACCAACTCCCCTGCCAGCCGGATGTAATCCTGGAAAGTGACATACGCCTCCTACAGAGGGAAATTCAGGACAAGAATCTTCCTGATGGATGAAGAGTCAGATCCTGTGGTCTAAAGCTGTCAACATCTACACAATAAGGAACCCCCCAGCCACCATCATCACCATCATCCACATCACAGTTGTCATTGTCCTAACTCTGATCACAACTTGCATGTGACCAAATTTAATTAAGGTTAGGTGTCAACAGCTGTCTAGCAATGTCACTTACTCTGTATGCGCTGTGAGCATTAATTAGGGACTTGCTTGTACTGAGCAGCCATGAATGCATTTCAGAGCACCAATTTAAGAAGGCCAAATGAATAAAAACTTTTAGTGTCTTGGGATGGTTTCAGCTATGGGGAAAACCCACTGTTCCAATCTCACTATAGCTTGCAGTGGGCAGAATACTCTATAAATGTATCTCAGAATTCAGGTTCCAGTATGGACCCAGAATGTAACATACCTAGTGAGACCATGAGTCCACCACTAAAGGTTTCTGAGCCCAAGACTTGTCATCTGTACAATGAAGATTTAACACTACCTCCCAGGGTTGCTGTGAGGAGCAACTTGGTGATGTATTTGATTGAACTTTATAATCCATAACATGCCATAGGCACACTCATTTTGGTTTTATCATGACTTGGCAATATAGACTCAAGTAGAATTGGGCTAGAAAAGCTGTGTGGAAACTAGTTCTCTGGAAGCTTCCCTGCCTATCCTGAGCAGTGGATGGAGAGGGTATAGTTCCAGGGTCAAGGTGAGGTGAAGATGTCCCACTGCAGTGCATATTACCCCCTGAGGCATGCTCTGCAACACCACAACACTAGATGTAGTGATCAAATTCTACATTAACGATCCTTATGTCTAAGCAGTTCCAACATTTAGGCAGCTATGCTGCTTGCGAATTTGTTATTTGTTCCTTTGTTTGTTTTATTCCCAGCCTCGGCAAATATCTTCGAACCGCCTCTCCCCTGTCCTGAAATTGAGTTCATGAACTGTGCCCTTTTTCTTTATTTTAGTCTTTCTATAGCATCTGCCATTTATGATAAAACATGCCATCTCCTTTTTAGACTCACATACTGTGAGAATAAATAATAAATACATGAGTTTTAGAATAACCTTAAATCTGAAAATAACTGCATCTATGTCATATATGTGTCTGTACAAAAAAGTTGAATTATTTTAACAACTTTTTATCTTGGTTGTGTGTGTCTGGAAGAGCTGTAATTAGCTCAAGCAAGAAAATGAACTGTGGCCAGGATACCAGGGAAGTGCGTCCAGGAAACCAGCGAAGACCAAAGCGCCCCTACAGGCCAGCAAAGTAAAAGCAGGTGATATAGACGGGAACAGGGCAGGTGCCCGGACTCTTTATGGCTTCCCTGCCCCAGCCACTCTTCGCTCGCTTCACGGATCCATTCACACTGAGGCGTCCCCTGCACAAGCTCTCCAGTGGAGGCTTGCAAACACCGCAAGCTTTTGCCTCAGCTCTGCCTGGCTCTGAGTGCCCTGGAGTAGCTGCCTGCAGCCCTGTACCTGGGGTCCTGCCTCAAACCAGGCTGGAGGGTGTGGGGTCTCCTGAGAGGCCCCTTCCTGCTGCTCTGCTAGGCCAGGGCTTGGACCTTTAGGTAGCATTTTTATTTGACTTTTAAAAAAACTGCTATTCTGGAAAAACAAAACAAAATATTGTGGGTGTGAAAGATGTGCCATAAAAATATCAAATTAGGGTTTTTAAGTAACCTGGGGTTTGTTGTGATTGTAAGGAGAACCCTAATGTGTCACGTTGCTATATCATGTTACCTCTTAGTTGAGAATAGATACTCTTTGTGCCGTTAAAATTTTTTTAATGTTTTAAAAATGAAACGTGACACTGAATCTCATTGATTGCTTTTTTGATATTCTGAAAGTGGTTATAATGATTCTGCTTTAATGAATCACCCCTAGAATTGAACCCTAAACCCACACAAGTAATGGATTTTTAGACTTGCATTATTTTGGGAAAGTATTCATGGTTGTTCTGTGTACATCAAGAGGCTAGTCCATAACTCTCGAGAGCTGTAGCTCTTACTCAAAGGTTTGGTAATCATGAACAGTTGTATGTATTCAGAAAAGGGAATCGTCTATGATGCCCATCTTCAAGTCCTGTTTTTGTAACCTTGTAATGCTGTCTTAAGTGTTTATTTTCTCTCGATTCACAGACCTAATACCTTCAGGTAAACCCCTCTTTGAATCCATTCCCCCACCAAACTTCTGGAGTGATAACACACGTATTCCCCCCAGAATTTCTCTATTTTATGCCTTTGTAGCTGCCTAAAGCCCACAGGGCAAAAATGCAGCTGACAAGGCAGTGGAGGAAGTTCTCTAAACTCTTATCATAGCACAAATTCACTCTATAGCATCCAACCTTGATTAGCCAATAGAGATAGAAGCATGGGATTTTAACAGTGTGGAGGCGAGAACACATTTGGAAAGCTGCGGGAAGTACAAACTGGCTGTCTCCAGGAATGAGACACGGGTCGGGAGGAGCCGCAGTCCAGGATATGGCTGTTCCTCCTCAGATCTGTCATTTGACTTTTAAGTGGTTTGCAGATATTGCTTTCATTAGAAATGTTCCTTGTGAGATAAGAAGGAAATGTAGCCCAGATGTCAAATTTGATGCACAAAACCCTCACTGCTTAGACCTCTGTCTCACGCTGTGTGAGCAGTGTCTGCACCGAGCTTAGGGGTGGCAGCTATTGAGCTCAACCTGCAGGCAGGATCAGCCCTGTCCTTAGATCATCTTCTGGCATCCCATCTGTCTGGCTCTCCCCCTTGCTTATGCTTCAAGACTCAGGTCAGGCCAGCATTTCTGCTGGGTGTCCTGGCCTGTTCCTCTGCACCCAGCTCAGGAGTCTCTCTTGTAGCTCCTGGTGCTCCTCACTCAGCGTACTGAAAGTGTATGGGTACCCCACATCTTACCAGCAATCTTACAGCTCCCTGACAGGGACATCGCACTTCTACTTTTTATTCATAATGCACAACACAGTGGTGTGTATCCAAGTGGTAAGGAAAGAAGGAAAGAGCGGGAAGACAGCAGGCTTGAGCTGAGCATGATCTGAGAGCTATAAAAGGGAGATAAAGAGAGAATCGAGAAGCCCATAGGAAAAACTATTTGGAAACCAAAGGAGCAAAAGGTGACAACTAATTGGGCTTTTCTGAGATTTCCAGATTCCTAGTTCAGGCCTGGGTAATACTGTACTTAGAAAATACTCCTCTGACTCCTTTAATAATAAACTTCTTCCAACAGTCACAGGTACTTTTTACATTACCATGTGGCTCGGAATCTAAGGAGTTGTCAATAACCAGATCTCCCGCAGAGGCTGAGCGTTCATACTTTATTGACAGCTGCACTAATGAGATTACTTCACGTACCCACCAGTGGGCTGTGCTCTCTAAGGAACTTCCCCAAGGACTGGGGCACTACTAGCTTGGTGGAGCCACCCTGCAGGAAGAGTGAGGGTGTGGACCACCCTGGCTAGGGAGTAGATGGCACCAGAACCAGTTGCCAAACACAGTCCAGACTTTCTTTGTCTCCCCCAAACCCCAACTTTGCAAAAGAATGAAGCCATAAGGAAGGACTCTGTGGAAACTTACTGAAGATTTAGTCCACCCTTTCCAAAGCAGGGCTGCCCACCATTATTAACAAACAAGTTCTTGTCACAGTACACATGCTCAGAGCCACCCCGGGGTTGGATTGGATCAATTGTTTGCATTTCTAAAACAACTCTGCAAACCAGCCTTCCTCAGAAGTTTTCTTGGTTTCCCAGAGGAACTTCAACCCTATTATAAGCTCAATTAACACCTCGTCCTTTTTCTTACCATGGGGAAAGATCGTGCTAATGATTAGAAAATTTACACTAAAGTATCTATTTATATGCTCATCTTGATTAATGTAAATGGTCTGTAAATTCTGAAGCCAGAGCCCTATCTACCTGGTGTTTTACTCTAACACCTATTTCGAATTTCTAACACCTAGAATCAGTGGTGGTAGCTGTTCTTTCTTTGCTAAATTAATGAGTTGGTGAAATTTTTCTAAGAAAAAAAGGGTCAGTGGAGAGCTTGAGGGATTTTTTTCTTAGAAACGAAAAGGATATGTGATGGTAGAAGATTAATACCCTCATGCCAGAAATCTAAATGACCAGAGTGTAGGCACTGAACTAGAAAAATCTAGGCTGAACAAATCTCAAGGCAGAGCTGGGTAGTTCTCAATCTTGACAAACATTCATCACCCAAAGACTTTCTTAAAAATACCAAGGCCAGGGCCTTGGTTTCAGACAGCCTGATTCATAAGGCCTGGGATATAATATAGAAGCTACTCTTTTTTATCAGTTTCCCAGATTTCTAACATGCAGTCTTGCTCAAAAACCATAGATCTCGCAGAAGGTAAAATTTGCCTGAGATCACACAACTAGTTCATTTCAGGGTTATGACTAAAATCCAAGTCACTTGGGTCTTAGACATTGAACCTTCCAGTCATCAGGGAACCTAAGGCAACTGGCACCCTAGAGCACCTGCTCTGCCTACACCAAGCAGAAATGGAACGGCAGAGCAAATTAATTATAGTGAATAGAGTTCTTGGAAAATCCTAGAAAAGTATACCTTTTATGGCTGAAGGGTGACTCATTTTAGAGTCATTAAAATATCTCTAAAGTTGGATAAACTGACTCCATACTTACATAGTTCAGGCTTTGAGGTATTTGTGCTGTCTCGTATAAATAAAGGTATTTGTTTTTACTAATTTCAAGTGATCTGAAATGTTGCTGACAAGCTTCTCTCAGAACTCCATTCAGTGGTGAATAGCAGGGATCTGCAGTGTCAGATTTAAGGCCAGTGATTCTGCAGATTCTAAAAGATTGCAGAGGAAAACCCTAGAATTCCCAAAAGCCAGTGCTTCTGGGTTTACTAATACAGCTGGCTAGTGAAGAATTCATTTATCTAAGCAACAGCTCCACAGGTTAACTGGATGACAACTGCATCCAGTAAATCCAAGCACTATATTTGCACATTTTTATATTACTAACACTTTTAAGTTATAAAATAGTAGAAGGAAAGAAAACTTCCTATTAATTAACAAATTTGGTGCAATCTTTCAAATCATGGTGATAAGTTTGTAAGCCCTTGATCTAATGAAGATTGACTTACTACTGTGTGAAAGGGTCACAGATCTTTCCTAAACTTGGGGTCAAGCATCAAGAGACATGACCAAAGAGCAGGGACCTTTCAACAATGTTCTTTGCTGTTTAAACCTCTTGCAGCTGGGTTCTTCAGCCTTCACTCTTTCTCCTCCAAGAAAAGAATATTTAAGTCAAAGGACTCTTATTTGGGTAGTGGGTAAAAGTGGCTTTCATTTAAGCAAAAATAAAATAGGAAAATGGCAAGGAAGAAGAAAGAAGCAGTGAGAGAGAGCAAGAGAGAGAGAGAGATGGGCAGGGACACTTAGGTATAATTGTGCTTCCCTTTGTCCAGCGGTGGCAAACCTATGGCACTTGTGCCGCAGCTGGCTGTTTGTATCAGTGAAAGCTCTACACTGTTTGCCATCACTGCCCTAGTGCTTAGGCAAAGGCGGGAGTCTTTTACATATAATTTGACTATCTGTGCCAAAGGAACAAGTGAGTACATAATCATTCCTCTCCCAAAGAGAAAGGGGCACTCAGAAGGAGACTTCGGGTCATTAACTGCTCAGGATCAGAATACTCTCTGCACTGTATAGGCACACAGTCTCCAAGGAGGTGTGAGCAAAGCAATGCTGGGAAAGGACACATCTGAGGACACATCAATGCAGCCAGAGCTGTTGGGAAAATCCAGACATTCTCAACTAGTTCATGGACGTACATTTCTCCATTTCTAGTCACTTTTTGTCCTACTTGGCCATCTTCTAAATGTCCTCATATGGTCTCCACACAACCTGCACACTTAGACATGTATTTAGGAATGTAGCTCCAGCAAAGTACCCTATGTCTGCCTCTAGCACACTCATACCATCTTACCTGGGCAGTCAACCCCACTTGTTATCCAGAATTGCTCACTATACTTTGACAAACTCTAGCTCTCTCTCTGTCTCTGTCTTTTTCTGTCTGTTTTTGTCTTTCTCTGCCTCTCTGTCTGTCTCTGTCTCTCTGTCTCTGTCTCTATCTCTGTCTCCCTCTGTCTCTGTCTCTTTCTCTCTCTATGTGTCTCTATCTCTGAAACATAATTTTATGGCTGAATATGGGGCATCTTAGAGTTAAGATATTTTCGCATGAGCCAAAGTTATTCCACCCTTACATAAATCAGCTTTCATGTACTTTGTGCTATAGAGTACAAAGACATACATACATGGTGGGGGAGCGGGAGAGAGGATGTATCTTTGTGTGTTTACCCAGCTTCAAATTCTTTGCTTTGCTCTTTCTCTGTTCACACTACCATCTTTGGTCTAATTCAATTCAGGGGTTTGCTTCTTGACTGTAGGAAGTTTATCTTTTCCTTTGGATCCAACTTCCCCTTTTCCTGCTCCATGCTGAGCTCTTCCTATCACTCATCTACCCCACGAAGAACGTACATCTGCGGTCATCCAGCTCTCTTCCCCAGTCTTTTCCTTTCTGTCCATATGCCTTTTATTCTTTTTGGGCTATTTTTCACCACACAAGGACAACATTTTGGTAATTCATGCATCAATCCCCCATTGCTAAACCTGTTAAATTCATATGTTCAAAACTACTCAAAAGTGTATTTTGTTATTGACAAAGGAGGACTTTGTATATAATACATACAAAGGAGGACTTGCTTTCACCACCAATAGGGTTTTACATCACTGCACACCTCTAATTAGCCATCTTTATCTCTCCAGGTTGGCAGGCCCACAACAGTAAGAAGATATTAGAGATTAGTTAATATATCCCGCTACCAGCCCAAGCACCCTTCTATATGGTTTCCAAGAGTCAGACAGATGATGCATTATTAGCAAAGCACTCACACTGACAGGCCTGAAGGGCTGTGCCCTAGCAGACCAGATATGGACTGGGAATAGAATCTTCTCTCTTAGAACAATAGGATTTCCTTGCATAATCGCTATGAACAGTTGGTATTCCTTGTAAATTATAAGACATTTCACAAACATATGTGCCTACTGATACCAAGCACTGTATCAAAATTTCTATGAAAAAAATCTGTAGCTACCTGGGTAGATGCTGTTTTATTGACTAAGCTCTGTCTCCAGCTCCCTTACCTCAAGTCTAGGTCTGTACCTGGACACCGGGAGCCCGGCACTTCTGGAGCCCAGGGGTGACAGCATCTGCTGGTCTGCAGCACCACAACCCCGCAGTACTATTCCCTTCCAGAATGGAAGAGGAGTTACCTCTAGTGGTTTCTGCTGGAGGATGGCATTATCTCGAGAATGTGTACGGTTGTCACCACGGAACTTGAGGGGGCGGTAGACACAGCATGCGGTGAAGCAGATCATGTAGAGAATGTACAAGGCACCCAGGATGCAGAAGTAGGGCCGCCCGTATTTCCTCCACTTCAAGGTCACCAGCTCCTTCACTGGGGTCTGTTCGAGGATCTGGCGAGCCTGCCACATGGGAAGAGTGCAGCTTGGGGTGATTCACGTGGTAAGGAGGTGGATTTCCCACCGGGTCCCAAGGGAGGAGGCCAGTAGCCATCACTCTCATTAGACATTCCTTGGCAACAACTAGGCAATTCAAACTCTATGCTAGCACCACAGGTAAACTATACAGAAGTAAATGTAAGATACCATAGTGCCACTGTGTGGTTTTTTGTTTTTGTTTTGTTTTTTTTTTTTTTTTTTTTTTTTTTGAAACTAAATCACTGTGTTTCAACAGATAAGTAGTAATTAGTTGGATGAAGGGAGAATTAGCAAAGATCATTCCATGAAGAACCAGCAGTTGCCAGGGCAGGAAGGTATGAGAAGCCGTTGACCACTTGCAAGTGAGGTGTGGTTCGGAATGTGTGAGAATCTGTTGGGGTTTGTGGACCCAAGTCGTGATGCGCAGAGTAAATAAGAGCCGGACCATTTACGCCTCAAGGATGCCAAGGTAGGGAGTTTGAATTTGTTTTTCCTGAACGAAATGTAAAGCAATTAGGAAATCCAAGCAGAAAAATCCAGTTTACTCTAGACGTCCTGTTTGATGGAAGGAAAATCAGTAGAGCAGGTAGTAAGTAGATCAAGAGCATGATTTAGCTCTGATACAAATAGTTACTAAGAAGTTCAGGTAAAAAGAAAATGGTGGGTGGGATTATGCATCTGAGGAATTAAGAAAAGACAGTTTAAAAATATTTCTGGCCCATCCAAGGCAAAGGCACCTCACCTTCATCTGGCTGTCTCTGCACACAGCTCACACATCTCTATTATCATCCACTTTGTATTGTACTGAAATCACTGAGGACTGGGACCATAGATGTAGGAAGAGAGCTGATAAGTATTGTGTTTGTGTGGCAGGCAGTGTGACAGTCAGGTCTTCAATATATGGAAGGAAGGAAGAAAGGAAGGAAGGAAGAAAGGAAGGGAGGGAAGAGGAAAGGAGGGAAGGAAGGAAGGGAGGGAGGAAGGAAGGAAGGGAGGAAGGAAGAAAAGAAAGAAACTTCTATTAGGAGAATTACTTTTCTGAATGTTTAGAATAAGAAAGATAAGTGGAAAGGACTGAGTTTCACAGAGGGAGAGTGTGGTTAGGAGATGAGAGCAGACTGGGATTTTCCCCACAGCTCCTTGAGGCTGGTCTCGTCTCCACCTAATCTAAGGCTGGGAAGATTCTGGGGCCCAGGATATCAGCTGGAAATTGGGCTCTCGGCAGACCCTGCCTTGCTCACCCATGGGTTCATGACTCCTTGACATCCATACCTCCCGCTTCTTAGAAGAGACCACGAGCTCTAAGAAGGACAGCTCCTCTCCCCAGGAGTCGATCTCTGTGAGATCGTAGAGAGTGGAGGTCAGGGGCCCACACGACCACTGAATGTGCTTCCGCTTCTGCATCAGGTGTTGGAACATCTAAGAGGGTATAGGAGAGAAAGGGAGTCACCGTGTGGGAAGCTGGTCCAGGAGAACCACACTGTGGACCAGGCCAGGAGCCCACTCACCGGGACCAAGACAGTGGGGAATTGCGATCTTCCCCTTACTTGAACTGTTTTCTTCCTTTGACTGTCATCTTTCCCAGACACAAACCCCATTAAGCTCTGAAGGAAGGGAACAGCTGAAAGGACTAGGACTTTGGGTCCGGGTGGTAGATATCTAAGGTGAAGGTCTCAGGGCTCATTTGGGATGGAGTGGGAAGTAAGGGCCACCTCCTCTTGAGGAATGTGGACAGAAAGGTCCTTAGGGAGACTCCTCAGGGCTGGGGGAGCCCCTCACCACAGTGTTGCCCTCCACGCCAGCCAGCTTGAAGGGTGTGAGGCCATGGTGGTTGGGCACGAGCTCCAGGGACTGCAGGTGGACCCCTCCATCATAGGACAGCACCAAGTTGTACATCTGGCAGGCGAAGGTTTTGTTGGGCTGCAGGACGAGGATGTGCAGCACAGTGTTCCCTGGGGAAAACAGGGTCTCGTGTAGTCACAGGGCCAATGTCCCTGATGGCCCCATTCCCACCCTGGGATGGCCTGTCCCCCTCCCCCAACACCCCTTGCAGCTTCCCAGTATCCATGCCCATCCAGTTCCTACCCAGTGAGTCCTGGGCCCGGATGTCAGCTCCGTGTTCTATGAGCAGTCGCACGATCTCCTCGCTGCCCACGCAGGCTGCAAAGGAAAGAGGGTGCTCCCCTGGGACACAAAGGGATCAATGGCAGGAGACAGTACGGTCACAAGATGAGGGACAGTGTCTCCCAGGTGACTGCCTCCTCCTCCCTACACCCAGGCTGGGAGTTGGGGACACTTGTCCAGCAGAACCAGAGGAGAGGACAGTGCAGAGATTGGGGGTAGACGTGGCCTCTGGCCTTCAGTTCTGCAAGGGCTGCTCCATTCCAAGACAGCCCACTTGAACCCACCTCCAGGTCACCATTCTGCTCTCCTCCTCTTCCTCTGCCTTCCCAGCCTGGCCCTGATGCTCACCATAGTAGATCAGGTTATGGGGGCTGTGCTGGAAGGCGAGGCCTGTAGCCCTGGCGGAGGCACTAGCCCCATGGGAGAGCAGGGCACGCACAAGGTTCACGTTCTGGTTCATGACAGCGACGTGCAGGGCAGTCTGACCTGGGCAGAGAGAGTTGTAAGTCCCGGGTCTGACACCTGCCCAGTTTCTGCAAGGGCAGAGCAATCTCACACCCTGACCCCCTGGCAGGCTCCCTAACAGGTCCTCAGGCAGATTTCTGCCGAAGGCTCTGCAGAGTGGCCAGGGACAGAGGACCACTGCTCCCTGCCCAGCTCATTGTCCCTACACCTCTGCTGTTGGGTACCAGGGGTCTTGCTACCAGTCACTCCCTGTCCCTATGAGGGAAAGGCATGGAGGTAGGTCCTCGGGGACCATGTGAAGATTGGAAGAAAATACAGCCAGGAAATCATGGATGCTCAATGTGTAGAGCAGGACTCTCAACTCAACTCCCAGGCCCCGGTGCAGAAATGACAGCCATCCCCCGCTTCCACTGAGAGCTCCCGTGCAGCGACCTCACCTACAAATGGCTCACACAGAGTGGGCTCCGTGACCAGGTCAGGGGCGGCCTCCATCAGCAGCGTGGCAGCCTCCAGGTTGTCGTAGAGGGCTGCTACATGCAACGCCGTCTCCCCTAGGGCTCCTGGAGTGGGGTAGGACAAGGATGCCAGGCACTTTCCATAGTCCTTCAGGGAAGGGGTGCCTGGCGGCAAAGACACCTCCAAGTCCCCTTTCAGAAACCCCCTGGTCCTTGGTGGGGAGAACGGGTCCTCCTGCCCCACCTCTATCCCATTACACTCTGCTTTCACCTCTTTGTCGAAAGTCACAGCTTTGGTCCAGCAGAAGTCTCTTAAGGGTGCAGAGGTCATTTTCCTTGGCTGCCCGAAGCAGTGGAGACTCCAGTATCCTGGGGAAGGGTAAACAGGAGTCAGGCAGAGGCTGTCACAGAGCGGCTGTGAGCAGAGGGGACTGGAGGCATCAGGCTAAGAGTGACAAGACTCCCACAAAGCGTGTAGAAGGAAACTCTCTGTGTCACTCTTTAGTGCCAAGGCTCCAGGGTCTCATGGGAACCTGGGCCTGGGTAGCTCTCAGGGATTCCCTGGGGTTCCCTCTGATTTTTATCATGCTAATTTCTCCCGAGCAGAGTCAGCCTGGTGGCCCTGTGACTCTGATGGGTGAGCGGCTTAATAGCAATCTCCATTCCTGATTGAAAAGTGTTGTGGTCTGGACAGGTGGTGACAAGGTCCCTGCAAGGAAGTCCTCATTGTGGCCCACTTTATGTGAGCTGAGTGTTTCAGGATCTTGGGGAGGGGATCATGGGGAAGGAGAGGACATTATTGGCATCTCTACCTCCCAGGCCATTAAAGCCTGCTCTGTGTGTCCAAGGAGAGTTTAGAGATCACAGAAGTGGAGGTAGCCTAAGCTGGCTGACGGAATTTAGGATCTCCTGAGCTACTAAAGCTCTATGTGCTCTGTGGGGCTGTTTAGCTACACATCCCTGCTGGGTCTGAAGAGTGTCGGGTGTGCTATGGGCTCCACGTCTCTCCTGGACTTTACCCTCAGCTGTAAGGCTGTGAGCATTGTTTATAACTGAGGAAGATTGGCAGCGGGTGTCTGAGAGTTAAGGTGGTCATCCTGCAGTTTCTCTGTAGGTTAATCTTTGCCTCTGCCTCGGATGAGATCCTAACAGAGTAGGAGATAAAGCTGAAGTCTGTCTTGCTAAACAGACAGTGTTGGCCCCAAAGTAAACACAGGGTTTGGCGAATTGAGGGTCATGGGACACTGCTGAACGGACAGGTAGACTGATAGTGAGTGGTATCCCTGATGTCTGGTACCCCCACATTTCTCACTTCAGCGAGCAGAGGCCAGTGAGCAGTTTTCACGTGAGGAAGCAGGTCTGTGTGGTAAGTAATTCCTCTAGGAGAGACCTGCAGGGTGATCAATCTTTCAGCCCCCAGTCCCACTGAACCTTGTACCCCTGACCAGCCCAGAGTGGCCAGCACTGGATTCCAGAGTTCATCCTGTTTTGAGGCCATTGGCCAAAGCTCTTGTCTCTCTTACCCCTTTATCTTACTGACCCTCTGCAGAGGGGAGGTCTAGAAACCAGGTCTTTCAGAGACCACCCTGGCCCCACTCTAATGCAGGGTGGTGAGGTCAAAGCCCCATTGCAGGTCAGGGTGGAGGCAGCTGAGCAAGCACGGCACCTGCCAGGAGGTGGGCACAGTGCAAAACACAAATGCAGGACTCTGCTCAGGTTTATTATGCACTGCAAGATAGGAAGAGCTGGACACAACCTCGCACACAGCACTCTCAGGCACAGGTGCTCAAGTCAGGTGTGGCTGGCTTTGCAGCCAGGCGCCCCTTCCCTGAGGGACTGTGGAAAGTTCCTGGCATCCTTGTGGCTGTCTGTCCAGCTCTGGTGGGAGGCAAGTCCCCAGCATTCCACCACAGAGGCTGCCCCTGCCTGCAGGGCCCTGGGTCTGGACCTCAGGCCTGAGCCATGATACGGCGGACATTCATTGGAGAAACCACACCTGAACTAACATGGCCCCTGGAGTCCCACATCCTCAGTGCCTGACACTCACAATAGTACCAACAATAGGAGAAAGAACTGTGCCCACAATCTCAGCTACTTGAGAGACTGAGGTAGGATGGTTATAATAAGTTCAAGCCCAATCTTGGAACCTTGGAGAGACCCTGTCTCAAAGTAAAATATAGCCTTGGTAATGTAGCTCACTGATAGAACAGCAGGCGGACATGCATGAGGTTCTGGATTCCACTGTTGGTAGTGCAAAATGATAAAATCAGTTTTAAAGAAATGAACAGACAAAACTGAGCTCAGGATTCTCCCGTGTTAGCCAGGTTGCCCTCCCCAGCTGGTCACCTCCAGGTGTTATACAAACAAACTTCTCCTCCCCTTTTCCAGGCAACTTCATGCTCATGGCAACTCCTTGCTCTTTCTTCCACCGAGTCTCCTGAAGAAAGGGCCCTTCAAACCCTGGAGGGTCTGTTCCCTTCCCCAGCAACCTGCTCTCCAGCAACCTGATCTTGCCCTCCCTCCACACTCTGCACAGCTGGCTTCTTTCTTTGGATCCTCCTTCTGTTTTCTTCTAACAGGAAGACAACTTCCAGCCTGGGCTGTCATCCCATCCCCCCATCCTCTGTCTTTTCGTAGGTGCTCAAGATCTCCCTTTGTTTTCCAATCCCAAACCACTAAAAGTGACTGGGTGGGGTGGGGGAACATTGCAGCAGGTGGGAAGAAACAGAGGAGGAGATCTGGGAGCCCAGCTCTGAGGTCCAAGGTGCTATGTCAGGGAACCAGCCTGTGGGTCAGCAGGTTAGGGACGGCACATGGGCCTGTCCTTAGCAGCCTACCTCTTCTGCTGCAGCATGTGGGCCTCATCCAGTTTCTGGTCCCTGTCTTGCTCTCTGACCACCCAGGAGCTTAGGAGTTTCTGGAGCTGGATCCAAGGTCCTTTAGCCCCCATGTCTCTTGCACGAGCTGAGAGGTGACTGGGAGCCAGTGAAAAGAGCGGGTGAAGGAGGCAGCAGCTCAGAGGAAGCCGGGTCTGCTGGGTCGGGACCCGGGTGAGTACCTCTCTCCTGCGACGTGTGTGCAGTGTGGGTTATGCAGTGTGATTGTGCATGTGTTGAGGGACTGGCCACCCAGCAGGGGGGAGACTTTCCCTGGAGGGGGAGGTGCTTTTATAGAGCACAGCCTGGGGGCACGGTGCTTCAGGAGCAGGGAAGGGGCGAGGGAGGGACCAGCTGGGTTCCTGGTACTGGGCTGAGTAGCCTGTGATTGACCAGGGAAGGCTGAGGGTGGGCAGAGGAATGTGGAGAGGGAGCAAGGACAGAAGTAGGTCCCTCACACAAGAAGTGCAGGGGGCAGGATGCAGGAGAGTAGGAAGTCCAGGCCTCCAGCTCAGGGACCAGGCCCATCCTGGTTTAACCCTGGTTGCTTCCCCTTACAAAATCAGGTGAGAGCTGTGGACCCCACTCTCCTCAAAAATAGGAGTACTAATGACACTGTTCCATGGTAGCGCATATAAAGTGTCACCTGTTTCAAGAACTTACCCACTGTAGATTCTCCTGCCATAGACTGACTCAGGATCCCCCAGTGGTTGCTTCTCTGAGCCCCACAATTTGACCTCAGCCTTCCAGTGACCTCTGTCTGCAACCCTGTAGCCCGTCGCAGAACCTAACTCAAAGGAGGGGGTCTGGTTCTCCCCTTCCCAGGCCACACTCTCTGTGAGAACACCTCACCCACTGCCAGTTTCTGAATCCAAGCAGAGCCCACGGTCAGGTGCTGGTAATGCAGCTCCTAGGAAACCCCAGAGAGCCCTGAACTTCCTTGAGGTTGCACAGCAGGAATTGAACAGAAGTGGAGGACAAAGGAATCTTGAGATTCTTTACAGGGATGAGATAAGAGGAGAAATGAGCACAGATAACACAGCATTGTCATTTTATTGTATAATAACCTATTATTTTGATTGTTTTCAGAAAGGCATATCAATGTAATTGAATTATAGTTACTTGGTGAATCTGTGAGGTCAGTGGGAACAGGGCAAGCATTCTCTGTGAATGAAAGGGCACAGAAAGGGTGTGCGTGTGATTGACCAGCGCTCCAGGGCTGGAGGCAAGATTGAAACTCGCTTTAAAGTTGAGTTCCCAGCCTCTAGTAAGTCCCTCTCCAGATCTTGCTTCTTGGGAAACTTCCGGCCATAAGGCTGTGAGAGACTTGGGTAAGGTTTTTCTTGGGATCTTCCTCTTGGGCAAGAGGTCTTTGGGAACTGGAGCCTGCTCCCTTCTGCTGCTGTCAGAAAGAAAGCTTTGCTCCAGAGATTGGGGACTGAGCAAAACAACCTTTAGAGAAGGAGAAGAACTGAAAGGGAAATAAACAAGGCAAGGAAGAGGAGATGTCTGGGACAGGGAGGACTCGGGTTCTCACCCAGCCGGTGGGGAGGGGTCACCTTGTGGGAACTAGTTCTGCCTCCCAGGGGGTTGGGGCTGTGTGGGTGGTAATGGTCCCTGAAGCCTAGGGACTTCCAGTCTAAGGAGATGTAGGAGCGATAAGGTTGAGATGGGGGTTGTAGATGTGCTGATAAGTAGGGGGCAGGCCAGGAAAGGAGCACTGGGCCCATAAAGCTAATCCTCCAGGGTGTGGGGGCGGGGAGGGGTGGCAGAAGGAAACAGCCTGGTCACAGCTGCATGCAGCAGGTGTGCAGGGGGTCGCCATCAAGGGCATTGGCCACAAGTCTGAGCTGGAGGAATGGCGGACCCATTCTTCTAGCTCCCATCTGTGGGTCTTCGGGCTCTCCCTTGTCTGTCTCCACTCAAAGTGTCCTCTACAATGGGAGGGGCATGGACAAGTAGCCTGGGTGGGGCGGAGGCGGCCCCACTGGTCCCAGCTGGTAGACCAGGGGTTCGCATCTCCCCTCCTCCCTGCTCAGCTTTCCTCTCCTCCACTCCATCTTGGTGACATTCTGCACTGCACTGCCGTCCTGTTTGCCATTTTCCCACTCTCCTTCTAGCCAGTGCTCTCTTACTAAAGCCCGTCTGCCTGCTACGCTCTTCCCCAGTAGCAGCTACCAGAGGAGGCCTTCGAGCAGAGTGCAGCCGGCACGTCTTTCCGGAGCAGAGCTGAGAGCTCCTCGCTCTACTGTCAGGTCCCAGGACCAGCACAACAAAGCAGCCTGACCTCCGCATTCCTACCTGGTAAGGAGGAACAGAAAATGGACTTGGATTTCAATTTTTAGGGAATACACTGTCACCCCTACGACCCATGGATATCTAGAAAAGTCCAAGCAATGATGGTGATTTTCTTTGCATCATGAATTTTTAGCCATTTAAAACTACTTTTCTCTATTTTGTACTTTTGTGATAAGCCGAAAATTTTAAGGGATTACTGGTTTTCTGCAAGAATTTACATCTTTGGTCCCTGAGATTCAGAAAGGTGCCAGGCAGGGAAATGAAAGTAACAGCGGTCAGTACAGCCCAGTTCTGTCCACTTCAGCTGCCCTGCCTGCAGCTGCCCTCTCCATTCATATCTCCAGAGCTCAAGGTGGCTGCTCTTCGTGCCAGGGAAATGAGAGGCTCCTCCTACAAAATAGCTAAGAGGAGATTAAGGATTTTAGTTTTTCCATTCATGCATCGTTCCCCGGATCTGCAGGTCAATGGGTGCAAGACAGGGGTGAACACGGTCAGTGCCTAGGTGAAACTTTCCTCCCTGTCAAGTGCCCTTCTGTACCAACTTCCAGTGCTCTGCCACCTACTCTGATCAGCAGAAGTACACACAGGGTGGTGCCTGCTGTACTGCAGGCATGTTTGTGAGTGTGGGTAACACCCCTCCAAGGAGTCCTTACCACTGTGTACTTTCCTTTCCGCAGCTCCCTCTTGCAGGGAGAGCGTGTGTTTCTGCACACCCTCGGCCATGCATGCGTGTGTTTCACAGACAGCAGGAGAGGTGCGAGCAGCGTGTGACAGTTCCTTTCTGGTTGTTCCACCTTGAGCAGACTGGGACTCTTGCTCTGGTTTCCCAGGGAAGGTTAGTCACCCTGTGCACCCTCCCACAGTCCTCCACACTGTGCCGCCTGGAAGCCAAAAGGTCCCCCGCTCTCCCAGGCAGACACTGGGCGCTGAGGCAGGCTTTCCCAGACCCAGGGCTTGGGAGCCTCGTCTCCCTGCCTCTCCTCAAACTCTAACTCGCCGCTCCGCCACCAGGGAGCTTGGAGGGGACCCTGCAGCGCTCATGGCTGAGCGCAGAACGTGTCAACCGAGGGAAGGCGCTGTTTCAGCCTGGAGGTGCCAGAGGGCAGAGGGTAGGGAAGGAGAAAAACAGGGGTGGTGAGGAGAAAGGATGGCCTCTGCCGGGGGGCGGACACCCACCTCCCTCTGTCTCTGCACTCACTGCGCATGCGTCTCCTGGCTTTGTCTCTGTGTGTGTCCTTCTCTCTCTCTGCCCCTTTCGCTCCTTGTCTCTGTGTCTCTACCTCCGTGCTGTGTCTCTGTCTCTCTCATGCACACACGCACAGCTCTCTCACCTCCCTCAGTTCCACCTCATCCTCTGCTTCCAACAAACCCAAGGTTCATGCCAAGCACCAGGCAAGCCCAGTGCGTTGGGTCTGAGATTGCTCCCTGCAAGCCCCTCTCTTTAGAGAAAGGCTGCACGGAATACTAGGAAGCTGCCGTCTCTTTGTACAAAAGTCCAAATTGCAGGTCCCGCTGTGCCTGTGGGCAGTGCTGTGACTTTCAGGGAGAGTCACTCTTCTGTGAACCTCAGCTTCCTCATCTGTATAATGGGTATGGAGTGCTGTTACTTTGGAGGACTGGTGGCCCTGGAGTACCTGTGACAGTGCCATCAGATGACCCACTCTGGCCATCCTAGGACCCTCTGCCATCCCCTGCTGGCCCCTCCACCCTTCTGCCTGGCCATGGAATGCTTTAGCCAGCTGGAATGAGGGTCAGACTTGTGGCTGTGATGTCACAGAGCACATGAAGTCAGAAGTCTAATGCAAAAGAAGAGACAAAAAGCAGCACTGGGCAGGGATAAGAGCTGGGACACAAAGAGGGCAGGAGCCTGCTGGGCAGTGGGAGCAGGGGCCAGAGGCCGTGGTGGGTGGGCAGCCCCATGACTTCCCTGGGCTCCCAGCACAGCAGGGCAGCACTCCTGGCTGCCATCCTACTGCTGCTGCTGCAAGTGAGGGCGGAGGAGTCTCAGCAGGGCAGCCCAGGCCCAGAGCAGGGCAGCCCAGGCCCAGAGCAGGGCAGCCCAGGCCCAGAGCAGGGCAGCCCAGGCCCAGAGCAGGACAGCCCAGGCCCAGAGCAGGGCAGCCTGGAAGAGAAGACGCCCCCTGCGGGTAGGTGGGGAAGTGGCAGGCAAGTGTGGAGGAAGGGGCTCGACCTGCTTGAGTCAGGCCCTAGGCAGCCGAGGGGGCAGGGTGACTCTCAGGTGGGTTTGGGCTATGGCAGACAACGCCAGGTCCCTGTAGCCATAGGGTGACACTAGGTGCCATGTGAAAAGGTCGGGAGCAGGAGTTCATCACTGAGGGACAGCACGGGCCAGCTGCAGGCACGTGTGGCTTCTGTGTGGGTGAGCACGCGTGTGTGTCCAGGAAGAGGGCTGTGGTTTCTGCCACACTGGAAGATGGGGTCACACTGTGTGTGTGGAGGGTGTTTGAGTCGGGGCTGTGCTTGAACCAGGTCAGAAATGACCTGTGGATAGAGCACCACCTCTCTGGCCAAAGCCAAGGATGTGGCGAGTGGGCTGAATGCCCTTGGCCCTCCCACGTCCTGACTTCTCCCTGTTCTGGTTCGGGTTAGGAGCAGCTCAGGTCAGGCCTGCCCTTCTCTGCCCTTCTCTCCTATTCCAGAGCAGGGCCAGGAGGAGTACGAAGAGCACTTCATGGCCTCTTCGGTGGGTGAGGGGCAGCAGGTGATGGACATGGTCCAGCAAGAGGAGGACTTCACCTCGGAGACAGCAGCTGTCCAAGATCACCTTTTCAATGTCGCTCTCTGCTTTAACCTGGCCAGCCTCGTGGTTTTTTTATGAGGGACATTGAGGCCGAGGCGGTGGCCTGGATCCTGGAAGAGGAAGACCTGGACATTTACCTTCGCTTCTTGATCGCATACTGACCTCCTCTCTCCACTGGGCTCCAGGCCACAGCTCCCCAGAAAGATGCCCACGCTGCTCCCTGCACACTGCTCCCTGCTCTTTCAGAGGCACCTGTCCTTAGGGTGCAGCTTTAGATGCTTTACCGCCATGGCTTCTGCCTGATGCCACCCCAGGCCTGAAGCTTTGTGTTCCAGGTCCAGAGACTTCATACCATTCTCCCTCCTGTACTTCCCCTGATTCTGTCTAATGTAGCAAATTGGTGGGAGGAACATGGACAATAAAACAGTTGGAAGCACCTTTCTGAAGCTTAACCAAACCTTTGTGTCTCTAACTTTTCTGTTTAACTGCACAGCACCGGGCCCACTGACTGACCTTCAGACAGCCCAGCTGACCCGTCCCTGGTTCTGCCCTATTCCAGTGTCCAGGGGACCCATCTTGGCATTTCTCCTTCTTATCTTTTTTGATTTCTAGGAACAGAACATACGATGAAATTCATCAAGAAATGGCAAAAGCCAAGTGCTGGGTTTTATTTCTGAAAGGAAAAGAGATGATGCCTTGATGCCCTTGAGGAGATTTGGGGCTGTTGATACACTTGCTTTGGAATCTTTTGGTGGCTGAGTTACCAGAGCTGGCAGCGTCTGGAGGGGTTCATGAGGGTACCATGTGGACAGCCGAAATATCTGGCAAAGGCTGGGATGCTGCTGAGGGGTCCATTGACTTGCAGGCTCGGGGGTCTGTGAATGTCCCGAGAGTCCTGGGGATTGGACTCTCTACACATCATCTGAGAGGAATAGAGGCCAGGGAAGGGTAAGGAGCAAAGCAGGTGATGATAGGTCACACACAGGGACAGGGGACCACCAAGAGGAGCAGACAAAGGGGAGCATGACTAGAATGCTCACGGCCCATGCAAAGCAGCATGTGTCATTTGCAGTCATTTAATCTAGCATTAATAAAAAAATCTAGCATTGGGAGTGTGGAGGAGGGGCTGGACTCCTGTATAACAGCAGTTGTAAGGGAAAGAGGTGGGTCTGATAGAACACTCCAACAATGTCTCCAAGTCTGTTGAAGAACTGAGTGTCATGCGTGTTGAGGGACCACAGGTACAGAAAGGGAAATGTCCAGGTGGGGCCAGCCCTAAGTATAAAGTCTCTGAGGAGCAAGGAGATATACAGTCAATCTCACAAAGGCTTATTTTTAAGGGATCTGGATTTCTGGGGCATGGGAGAAAAAATGGCTGGGTTCATTTCATGGTGGGACCTAGAAGCAGTTTTTCCTTCTTTTGAGTGAAGGTGTTGAATTTAGTTAAAGAACCTTAAGTAATCTGAAGGGTGATTTCAGGGAAATAAATTGAAAATAGATCACAATGAGGATATCTATGTTAGTGGGCTGGAGATTTGGAGGGAATGTGTATCCGGGCGGAAAGTTCTTTGAGCGTTAGTCATGGGGTTCTTCTCTGAGAAGCAAACTGTGGAAGGAGGGGGCAGCTGCTTACCTGAGCGTAGCTTCGGAAGAAGAGCTGGTGGGGGCTGAGGTGCTGGTTGGGCAGCGTGGTCTCCCCACGGTACTCCACTATCCTCCTGCTGTATGCCTGCGTAGAATGCGAGGCTGCCTTTAGGCTTCACACTCTTGGTCATGGTCACTTGGAAGTCTAAATGTCCTCTGCACAGCCACCCAAACAAGTTCATGGCCTTTGTCACCAGTTCTGCACAGACATACTGGCCTGGGCCAGAGGCAAGCCCACTTTCCAGAAGACCTAGAGCTGTCCTAGAAGGTGGAGGATCAATGGCACTGGAGCGAGAATCCCCCACACTACCATCTGTTTGATAGGGATGTGAAAAGGGAGAGAGCTATGCAACTGTGCTTGCAGGAGGGATGGTGGAGGAACACTTGGGAACAAGGCTTCTAGCCTGATGGTGAGAAGAGACGTGGCTTTGGCATACCTGCAATGCGATGGCCAGTCCCCCAACATCTGCAGCATTCTCCAGGGATGTTTGGGAGCCATTGACAGAGGTTCTATTGGGCAACAGGAGGGCAGCATAATGGTGCTCCAGACACAGGAGTGCCTCCTGCAGGGCGTGTGTGTCACAGGCTGGACAACCCCCTGGGAGCACTGTTGAAAATGGAGCAAGAGAATCAAGTGTTAAAGTGTGCTGGAGACCTGGAAGTACTGTACACTGCTTTGGCATCCAGGAACATTGAAAGTGTCCAGCACTGTCCCACCTGGAGCCTTTGAATTACTTTCCTTTCCCCTCCAGGCCTCCTTTGAGGTCTTCTCTTGGGCTCCCTGTGGCCCCACCTCCCAGTGGCCCCTGTTACCCACAGAGCTGGTAGAAGATGTGCAACACCTCACGGGCCATGATGCTGCCAGCGGCACCAAAATTCACAGCTCTAGGAAAACAAGGGCTTGACTTAGGCCCAGAATCCTTCAACATTTTGACTGCAATTCTCCAACCAAAAGTTCCATCATAAGCCTTTTGGAAATTCTCTGCTCACTCTTTTAGAAAGGTCCATACCTGGGGTAGCCAGGGTGGAAGAATGGAGGTTGAAGGAGTCCAGCTGGGAAGACCACCACATGGTCAGGTATGGAATAGTAAGCTTTGACTCCCCAGGGGGACACTGGCCATCTGTAGGAAAACCACATATGAACGTGGCCTTATCATTTATTGTCCCCTGCAAGGCATACACAATCCATCTCAACTATTATTGTTGCCCTAGCTTCCTTTCCTATGGGTATTAGGGCATTTTAGAGGTGGAATATGTGTCTCCCCTGCTCTCCTACCTGTGATAGGACAAAGGTTGCAAGAAGCTCTGGACATTTCTTGCCCGGAGAGATTGGACACAGCTCAGGAAAGACTGCAGGAAGTTGGGTCCAAGTTGTATCTAAAGAGGATGCAGAGGATGTTGGTTAGAATCACCCAGGGAAAACAGAGAATTGAAGAGAAGGACTGAAGGGGAGCTAAGAAAGGGGAGTCACCTACATCTTGGTACTTCTGCCTGGCCAGCTCTGGCTTCAGGACCCAGTCCAGTGGCCCCATTTTCACCTGTAGTTGAGTGACCTATGGAAAGACACACAAGATGGTGATAACCTGGATTTCCCTCTGTGTGTTGCAGAGCCTTCGCTGCTATCACCCCTGGGGTGCCTGAGCAACACTGTGACTTCTGAACTTACTGTGTGTGCTTGTGTCTGGCTCTCCATCACTATCTCTGCTCCAATGGTCAATTCCACCATCTAATTGTTCCCATCCAGACCTGCATTCAGAGCTTACCCTGTCCTGTACTTCTTTCCGGCTTTTCTCACTTATCCAGGGAAGCTTCTCGAGGCGCGTGAAGAGAGCATTCTTGATCTCAGTGAATAGTTGCATGGCCTGTGGGGTGAGGGTCAGGGGTGGGAACACAGGATCAAGACCTGCCTCAGCCCCGGCCCTGCTTCAGCACCTAGCCCTGGAAAGGGACTTCAGCCCTGAGACATGCCCAGCAGGAAGAGCTGTCAGAGAAGGGGGAGATCTCAGAAAGACAGTGGGAAGGGCTATTTCCCGGGGTGCCACCACCTTCAGGGTCCAAAGATCTCTGAAGTTGGAAGGTAGCAGCACCAGGTATGGGGAAGGCATGAGGAAAATCTCTATCCTGAGGTTGACCAGAAAGACGGTCCCTAACATGGGGAGATCTCAGTCTGATGAGTTCTTACACATAGGGAGAGGCAAACTGCACAGAAAGCAGAGGAAGCAGATCATTCTCTTCCTTGAGCTCAGGGTTCTTGTCCTCACACCCTACTTCCTAAGGCTTCCCAACAAGTTGGAGTGTCCCCAGTTTCTGAGTGTGTGGTTCCTGTCTTCTCTTCCATTCACCACCTCATGCCTATCATTTCTTGGTGGACAAAACGAATGAAAATATCAGAGGGCTGGGCTCTGGCCTTAGACTGCCTCAGTTCAAACCTGACTACTATTTGGTGGCTACCTGACTTTGAACAAGTCATTTAACTTCTCTGTGCCTCAGTTCTGTCTCTTACAGAATTAAAGCGATGCTAATGGAAATGAACCAGAGCAGTTTTTGCGACGTGCTTACAAGAATCTCCAGCATGAGGCAGGCAGTAAGGATTCAGGATTATTGATTTGGCCTCCTTAAGATTATGTCATGCTATGGTCATGTCATATCCGGTGTTGTTTCAACATTTCAGATAAACAAGGAGGAGCCTTGGGGTCATGAAGTACAATTTTCTCATTTTATGGTTGAAGAAACACAAGAGAAAAAAAAAAAAGAACAAGGTGACTTGTCCGAATTACAGCCTGTTGTGGATACTTTGTGTTCCGTAACTGAGCTGTGCCCACTGAGAGATGAAACAGGCCTAGAGATTCATGGTCTCTTCCTGTCTCTCCTGACTTCCATCCATGTGAACCACCAAGCAGGGCAGGGTGAGCAGGGCGGGAAGGGCATAGGGATACGGGCACAGGGTAGGTCTCATACAGCACGTTGTGTCCATGGGCCAAAGGCCTGCTTGACATACAAGGCTGCCAGGGTGGGCTTGAAGAAGGATCCAGTGTTTTCCACACACTTCTTCCATCGCGGATGGGCTGGCTGTAGAGAAAAGGCTCGATTGAGTGGCTCTGTCCAAGGCCACTTCTTCACCACTTTCCCAGGCCAATCCTGTCTAGACCTTTACCCCAGAAGGCCTTCACTTCCTGAACTTCCTGTCTAATCTCCCTTGATTGGCCTCTCCAGTGACACACACTGCTGCTCAGCAGAAGGGACCTCTGTCCTCCAGAACTAGTTGTGGGCGCTTGGCTGAGGGAAACAACCGTTTGTTGCCTACTGATTTGAAGGCAAGCCCCCAGAAAGAATCACTCTGGAAGAATAAAGGTTTCTTGGCAAGAGAAAGCAAGAAACTAAACTTCTCTCCATAGCAGGTCTATTACCCAGCCATTCAGCACACACAGGCCCTGCAGTGACTCCACCCCCACAACTCCTGCTCAGAATGGACATCGAAGACCATCACTTCCTTTCAATGCCATCACCTATGCCCTGCCTCAGCAGGTTCGTGCATAATATTGTAGGGTCTTTCCTTCCAGAGAAGAAAATCATGATGAAAAGGGGATTTCTGGTGCCATATTGCTTAGTAGGAGACAAGGCCAAAAAAATACCAAATGTATAATCCAGAGAGCTGGAAAACTTTCAGTCAAATCAAGGAAAGCAAATAGATTTAAAAGATGAAGAACTTTAGCTTCAGAAGTGCAGAGCTGTTAGACAGCAGCTTGAGAGAAGCACTGATGTGCTTCTGTAGCAGCAGGATGCAAAGAATAAAAACAAGAGACAATAAAAACAGGCTGGAGGTGGTTTCTGGAGTGGTCTTGGATGACTTCAAAGAGTTGACAGAGGAATAAGTCCAGACATGACACAGAGGGGACCCAGAAACAAATTTAGGAGCTGGGGGAAAGGATTCAGGCAGTTGGCCTGGAGGAGGGAGGCTGAGCTGGAACTCATGAAAAACAACTCCTGTGCTAATTTGGGTTAGAGATGAAGCCAAAGACCCCATTGCTCTAATTTATTTACTTCCCAAGGATCTGCTTGTAGGTAAAAAGGCTGCCACTACTTCTGACAACATGTCTGGGCTTGTTTTAAAATTGGACCTGGGCTATGGGGGGTCCCATTAGAGGGAACTGAAAGATGGGCCATTACAGTGGTGAGTGAGTAGGAAACTTCTAAGTCCACCTGTTGGGGAATTTATCATTTTCAAGATTGCTCCCGTCCTGGTGGCCTATGTTCAGTGTTCTATTTCCCATGCCCAAAATGTCTGCTCACGTCCCTTCCTACAAGCAAGGTTCAGACTCTGTGGTGCACTAGCTGGAGCTACGCGACCTCAGTGTGTGAAGAGAACTGGAAGGAAATCAGGGTCTGACTGCAATGACTCTGTCACGTTCAGGCTCAGCTGGCTGCATTCAGCATCCTTCCTGCTCCAGACAGGGTTGGCTCCAGGAACGCTCCACACTAAACTATTGCTCTGCCTGTGACAGCAGCAACTTGTATGAGCCAAAGCCCACTTGATCTTGAATCTGTGGATCTGTCTGCTCTTTCACTTCTCCTGGTTCTTGCTTCATGATTCCCTTTGCCAGCACCTGACCATTTCTCCAACAACCTTTGCTCAAAAATAAAGACACCTCTCAGACAGAAGACTGCCATAACTATCTCTTGTAACAGGGAATGACAGACTACACCATGCTGACTGGAAACACAGAAGAAGAAATAGGGCTAGAGGGGGGAAATTTTCCAAAATACAAGGGATGGATGGAATATTTCAAATGCAAGACAATGAAACTCATTGGTTTAAGTTCAAAAATGCACACATCAATGAATAAGATAATTTAGGAAAAGAGAGCAATCAGGAAAAAAATCCAAGAATCTGGTTGGAAGCAAAAATTTGGCCAGTCTTCGGTAGGAGTGAAATAGAATTTGAGATGATAGGATAGTCAGAAATCATTAATGTCAAAGCCTAAGCAAAACTGTAGAATGAATTATTAAAAGAATTTTTTTTAACACTTGGAAAGTAATGTGTAATTTTTAAGGGCCAGGGTGGGATTCCTGAGGACAAATAATGCCCAAAGAGTACAAATACCTCTGGTTAAAATGCTCACCACAGTGTGGTATAAGACAGAGTAAAAGCCACACACTGAAACTGAAATGATACAGGAACATAACTGAGAGCAACATCCAACACAAGAAGCCCAGGGCGTCAGGGCCACAGCCAGCTCCATAGCTCACCCACCCGAACTGAGGTACGAACTTAAGTACAGCACCAGTTGTCACTGGTGGAGGCTGCCCAGTATGAAAGAACTCTGTATGCAGACACATGTACACACACACACACACACACACACACACACGCACACACACATACACAGGCTGGAAATTCTGATATGGGCATGTCGTCTCCTAATATTTGAATTTTGGTAATTAACTCAGAGTTTGTAAATTAAAAGCACCAAAAAACCCATCTATAACCTTTTGACCTACAAGGGCCACCAATACTCCAGCTGAGAAAAGTACTCAGCATTTACCACTTGAAGGTTATTTCCTTATGCCACTCTGCTGCAGCTACTACTGCAGTGAAAAGGAGAAAAATGCCTGTTATGCCTTCCTCACAGATTTGCTCATCAGGTGAAATAATAACCTTGAAAGCACTGTGTCTATTCTCAATTCCACTGGAATTCCATTAGCATTACTCTGCTTACCCTAATGGCAGTCTGTCGATGTTATCTAAATTTCGGGAAGGCACCTGGTAGAACCCTAGATTAAGTCCTAGTGAACCAGGTAGAGAAATCAAGGTTGAAAGACAGATATGAGTGGACTCTCATCTGGCTGAACACCATTGGTTATCAAGGATGAATGATGCAGAGTAAGAGCTTCCCACTGAGACTCGAACGGCTCCACCCCTGCTTTCCCTTTCTTCCTTTGCTGGACTCCCTAGCACCACTCAACATGTTTTTTCTTTAAAATTTTCTTTCTTCCTGCGCTGGAGGGAGTATAAATGAGTACAGATGACTGTAGGCAGGGCTACTTGCCTATTTTATCCACTGGAGACTCCCAAGTGCTTACAGAAGTCCTGGCAGGTAGTAGGTGCTCAAAAACTATTTACTGCATAAATGAATGGATGAATGGGACAATTGCATAAGTTGTCAGTTACCTGACCCAAGGCCCTTCCACTTCAGGATCATAGGAGCAGAAGTCTAGATAAAATTGCAAATGCCCCCGTCCAAATTGTACAAGAAAGGATAGTTGGAACAAAGATTTAAACTTGCTGAATAAATTGCTGAGTGGGGATTAATATAAATACCTCATTTTGGACAAGGATACATGCAAAATCTTACTTTAATGTCCCCAAACTTGGTTTCTGAAGTTTCATAAAAGAAAGGCCTGATTTACCAGCCTGGTTCATTGCCTGTGTGTTCAAAAGTAACAGACAACGATGGTCAGATGATGAGAGTTGGCAGTCTTTCGGTGACACTGTCAATTAGAATTCCTTCAGGAGAGTGTGATCAGAAGTTGGCGATTAATGCCCATTGAATAGGAGAGATCAGACCTCTGGCTTTACCACCCCCCAAAAAGCAAAAATAAATAAAAACAGAAACACAAAAACTCCTTCCTTATTCCAGACTTTAACGCTATTCTACCTCCTGCAAAGAGATTCCACTGATACTTGACCCCTCCCTTCCTACCTTCTCTTGGGGACCCCAAAATTATGCAATGTCTAAACCAGAACTCATCAGGAACATCGCTATGCTCTTGGCTGTAAGACTGAATTCCAGTAGTGGTAACACAAACAGTATGAAACACCAAGCCAAAAGTTTTCCTCTCTTACCCTTCATAGGAAGGCACGCTAACCCAGTGTTATAGCACTCACATATTTCTCAGTCCTCTATAATGCGTGGTTAAGAACACGGCCTCCTGAGCAAAACAGAACTATCCTAGAGTTCATTCCTTCCCAGATGAGCAATTTGTCTTGGGGATATTATTTGGCCATTCTGTGCTAATTTTTGCATCTGCTAAACTAGGGATAAAATCTTTAGAGAGTTTATGGAAGAACTGATTACAACAATCTATGCTAAATGCTACACACAGGGTCTGATGACAAAAATTCACTGTATATCAGCCACACCACCATTATATATTTTGGGTTGTTGTTGCAGAAAGGTAAAGTGACCTTCCCAAGGTCACATCTCTGTTTGTTGCCAGAGCTTGATTCAGTTTTTACACCCAAGGTCAATTATGCTCCCCATTGGAAAGGATGGTGATTTCAGTACCTGTAAGCCTTCTACATTCTTGAAGCATGAATCACAGTACTGGCATCTAACATCCTCCAAGACATGATGTCAGGCCATGGTGCAGGAATTTACAGGAAGTTGTTTGGTGCCAGGACATTTGAAGGAACCCCACAAAGAGGAGATTCTGTTCTCCTACATCTGAATCAAGAGACAGGCTAGGCAAGAGCTTCCTGAGTACCCCTAAGAGCTTCCTGAGGAGTCCTCTGTAGCACAGTGAATAAACACACAGACTCTTCACCCAGATGGCCAGGATTCAAGTGTTATTCTAACAACTTACCTGCTATATTATCAGGGTCAAAATTCTTAATTGTTCTACATTCATTTCTTATCTTTTAAAGAAAGATAAAATCACATGTGTGGTACCTCATGGAATTTGCAGGATTTTACCAAATAGCAGATGAACTGTTTCAGGAAAATATCTAGCACATTTTGAGCCCTCGATAAGCAATAACTATATTCCAGTCTCTGAGAATACATTCCCCTCTCAGAATTCCATAGATATTTAAAGTTTCTTCGAGGCAGAAAAATGGTTCCCAAATTGATATTTTATAAAATGATTTTCAAGACTAATCTAAGGCTGCCCCTGCCTGAGGTTGGGAATGTATCCAAACTATTCCTCATCTCCACTCATATTTGGATATACTTGACCTACGACTTCAAGGTTCTCAGTAAAGCAGTATCTCTGCCTGTTGGGTAGTGGAATAGCCTCTGATTTGTGAAGTGATTTTCCTACACAGCCCCTTCCTCCAGTATATTAGGATCTGAGCCATGAAACCCCCATATTACTCAATTGATTGCATCAGATTAGAGTTGAACTTCTTGTAAAGCACGTTTGAATGTTAAACTTGGAATCACTCTTTAACATGTCTGTCTCTCACAGAGAAATCTTTGACAAAATCCAACATCCATTCATATATATATATAATACATAAAAATATATATATAGAAGCTCCTTATCTCAATCCACTAAAAATCATTTATGGCAAAACTACCACCACCATCATATTAAATGAAAAACAGCTGAAAGCTTTTCCTCTAAAGTCAGGAACAAGACAAGGATGTTCATTACCACTGCTCCTGTTCAATGCAGTACTTAAAACATTACAGTAATCAGGAAGGAGAAAGAAATAAAAGATTATGTAGAAGAAAGGAAAAAGTCAAATTATTTGCTGATGACATGATCCTCTATATTGGAGACCCAAAAGATTCCACTGAAAGACTCCTAAAGTTAATAACTGAGCTTAGCATTGGAGCAGGGTACAAAATCAATACACAAAACCAATGGTATTCTTGCACACCAACAATGAACCCAAGGAGAAAGAGCTGAGTGCCTCTGACTTCATCTAACCAAGAAAGTAGGAAGACCTCTACAATGAAAACAACAGTAGTTTTAAAAAGGAGGCAAAGAGGGCATTAGAAAATAGACTGCCCCTGTTCCTGGATAGGCAGAATGAATATTGTCAACATGCCATACTCCCCAAACTGATAAATGATTTTAATGCAATTATAATAGAAATACCAACACATCCCTCTCAGAAATAGAATAATCCTAAGGTTCATGTGTAACGGGGGAAGCAGAAGCAGTCTTGGTTAACAAGAGCAAAGCAGAAGGCACCACAATCCCACATTTCAAGATATACTACAAAGATACAGTGATAATAACGGCGTGGTACATATACAAAAGCAGGCATGTGGATCAATGAAACAGAATAGAGGAGGCAGAAACAATCCAATTCAGCCATCAGATCTCTGACAAAAGGGCCAAAAACATGCACTGCAGGGAATATAGCCTCTTTAACAAACGGTACTGGGGAAACTGGCTATGTACATGCAAATGATTGAACCTAGACAAATACCTTTCATCATGTACGACAGTTAAATCAAACTGGATCAAAAATCTAAATGTTAAAACAGAAACACTTAATCTGCTGGAAGATAAAATAGGTGAAACTATTGAAGACATAGGCGTAGGCAAGAACTTTCTGAACAGAATCCCAATGGCATAAGACATAGTACCAAGAATCAGCAAATGGGACAATATCCAATGAAAAACCTTCTACCCAGGAAAAGAAGCAAACAACAGAGTAGGGAGATGCCATACAGATAAGGACATAAATTTTGCCAGCTATCGTTAGGACAGAGGGTTAATATGTAGAATACAAAAAGAACTCAAAAAACTAGTCACCACACAAAGTAATCAAAAACTGGGAAACTGAAATGAATAGAAACTACTCAGAAGAAGAAATTTAGTCAACAAATACATGAAATAATGTCCACCATCACTGGCCATTACTGAGGATTCATGTCACTCCAGAGAGAATGGCCATCACCAAGAAATCTGATAACAAATGTGGGTGAAGCTGTGGAGAAAAAGGAACCCTTCTACATTGTCGGTTGGAATGTAAAACAGTATAACCACTATGGAAATCAGTATGGAGATTTATAAAAAAACTAAAAGTAGAAATTCCCAACTATTCTACTTCTAGATCTTCTAGATCTACTTCTATCTTCTTAAAAGAGGTAAAGACATCATATTACAGCACTACAGGCATATCCATGGGAAAGGCAGGGGAAGGGGATGAAAAAAGTAGTAAGATGTGCTGTTTGTACCAACTCCCCACGATGAATGTAATCATTATGAACTGCAAACATGTACTAACAAAAAGAATCCATCCCCCATCCAGAGAACACTTAACTCTTGGTCCAGGTCTTCAAACCATGGAGCAAATAGTTTCAGACTGATGCGACAGCAAGAGCATCCCTTGATAGTTTCAGGTTTATAGTAAAAGTGAGAGAGGTGACCAGGAGATACATTTCTAAAGGTTTGGTATCCACTAGTTCAGTTTTTAGGTCAAACTCTGTGGCCCCTCCTGCCTGCCACTATGCAAAGCCTAGGCATAGAGGGGCTTCCACTTCCCTGCCTGTTCCCTGATAGAAGCACGCCTGTATTTGCTGCAATCTTGAAAATATATCTCTTCTCACCGTGAGTGGTTGCTTCATCAGTTTCTGCAATTTCTGGGTCAGTTCCATGCGTGCCTCCCGGAATTTATTGTCCAGGGCTGGAGTAAGGGTCTCCACCAATCCCAAGATCATGTGACTCTGCAGAACATCTCTAAGGAGACAAAAGACAGTCCACATAAGTCCCAGGCTTCTGAGGATGCCCTTCCTAAAGACTCCTCTTGTGCAAGTAAACCACCATGATATTGCTGGGAGCAAATCCTTTTCTGTATCTATAAGGAATTACTGTCATGACAAACAATCATGAAGAGCCTTTCTTAGTGTGGATTGGGTAATGCAAGAGGAGGGAGCTGGATGACGAGGTGGCCTTCTCATGTCACAGGGAGAAAAGGACCTGGGCTAGAAGAATGCTGGACTCAGATTAAACACCACAGATCAAGCTATTTCCACAACCAAGAAGCCTCTGCTCATGTGAGGACGTATCCCCTAAGCAGCACGAAGCTGGGCTCTGTGATTCCCCGCTTTCTTGTCGGCAGCTCTCTGCCCAACTGCCCTCATGCCAACCTGCCCATGCCCACGGATGTGTTCCTTCTTCCTTCACATAGGACATCCAGATGTTGCTGCTACTCAGTTACTCTGATGAAGGGCCTTAAGCTAAGAACCAAGCAGGAAGCTACTGCCTCCAAGTGATGGTGCCCCAGCCGTCAGGGAACTCAGAGAACTACCACAGAAACTGACTTCCGCGTGTCCCACTCTCTCTGACTTCCTGATAACAGAGGAACTGACCTTAGAAATTCTTTCCCACAGGGGTCCAGTGACCCCTCACCACAGCCAAAAAATGGCCTTTCCTAGCTGTCTTCCATCAGAGCATGCCCTGCCCCCACCTCTTTCATCTCCTCATCTCAAAGGCCTCTTAGACTTGTCTGCAGCCTTCAGCTACCTCACTAACTGGGTTTTCTGGCCCGTTCTACAACACAGAATCTCTTTACAGACTGATGTTCTCCTTCCAGTATACCTCAGTCTTGTCCCACCCCTGTATTCCTCATGTCAGATGTTATCCTCTCCCCAAGCTCCCTAGTCTTACCTACATCTGTTCCTACCAACCACCCTCTCTGCACACATGTGCACCAGGTCCCTTGGCCAAGGGTGTCCATGGTCCCTGAGACTTATGGAACCCCAGAGTCTCTCTCCATCCCATGGCCACCCAATGTCACTTGGGGCAAACCTGTGCTTCAGCATCTCTTCTTGTACCAGTTGTGACATATTTCTCAAATAGTCCAGGTCATGGACCACAAGGGCCTGGGAGGGGCTCAGGGACATCGGTTTGAAGGTCTCTTGCAAGCAGGACAACCAGTCGATGGCGGGGGCCATTTCCTTAGAAGAAGGACACAAAACTGATAGAGAGAAGGGGAGGTAGAGACAAAGAAAAGGAATAGGTTCTTGGGCCTGAGAAAGAATGGGATGAGGGATTGTTAGGAAAGGGGCCAGAGCCAGAGAAAGTAGGGACTGGAATGAATTTAAGGGTCCAGGAAGAAGGGGGTAAGGTAAAAAGAAGTTCAGGAGATATGTTGCCCACAGGGCTGGGAGCTTGAGCTCCAAGCACCTGCAGTTGTTCAATAGTGAGAACATGGAAGAGCTTGTCCTGTGACTGCCGCTGCTCCAGGAGCCGCAGATACTCAAACAGCCGCGAGGTAATGGAGATGGATAGGAAGGCGTGTTCCTGCACCTTCCCTGGGTCACCTCCCAGCAATGTTCCCAGCTGCTGTAGGTAAGCCAGGTACTCCCGAATGATCTGGAAGAGGGTAATTTTGGTCACAGGAGCCAGATGCTCTGCTTTCCTCCTGGTTCCAGAAGGTGTTGTCAAAGCGTCATCTTACCTGGGCATAGATCTTCTGCTCCTGCTCCTGCTTGACGGGAACTTCAAACTCTGGCCGATCTATCTAGACACAAGAGAGACTGGAAAGAAGTGTGGAGCATGGGAGGTGGGGAGGGGGTCAAGCGAAGGTGGGGAAGGAAGATGGCCTAGGGAGAAGGGAGTGGAGCTGCTGGCGAGGGAGAAGGGTACAAAGCAAGGCAGGGAGAGGCTGCTGGCGAGGGGCCAGGGAAAAAGGCCCAGTCATGGAAAGGAGAAGGGGCGGTGTTCTGACAGTCAGTTTGGGGGTGCTCAGAACAAGAGTAGCGTATTGTTTGATGTCGTGGAGGAACTCATGGCTCATTCTTGGGTCGGGTCTAAGGGTGCAATTTCCATCTCAGGTACAATAATTAAGAGTTGTAATTGTATGTTGTAAAAAGGATGCATATTTTAATACACTATTTAAAATCAAAATTAATACAAAAATTCCACGGTGAATAAAATATCAAAGGTCTCTTTATCATTATTTTCCCCATCAGTTTCACCCTGAGAATTGAACCCAGGGCCTCACACATCCTAGATAAGTGCTTTAACACTGGGCTCCATCCCCAGCAATTTTTATCTAATTTTGAGACAAGATTTCACTACATTGCTCCTGATGGCCTCAAACTTCTAATGCTCTTCCCTCAGCCTCCAGAGTAAGCCACCATACTCTGCCTCACAGTGTATTTTTAATCTATTTAAAAAATAATAAGTATATTTTTCAAAGGTCCACAATAGTTTTTCTACATTCTGAAGAAAAAAATTTATCTTCCAAAACATTCAGAATTGACAACAATTTGCTATTTGCTCATCTGGAATTTTATTGGCTTTGGTTTTTAAGAATATTTATTAAAATACTATTTACCCTGATACTCAGTGTTGGGGACCTTCTTCAGTTTTTCCCCAGGCAAGAATCCCACACACTTCACTTGGTTCTAGCCCCAGTGTGCTCTGAATTCTGAAAATCTTTGAGTCACCGAGCTGTTTCCCTCAATATCAGTATCTCACTCCAAACTTGAGTTATATGCTTTCCCTTTACCACTCAAAATCATATATTTTGGTTCTTTTGTCTTTAAAATAAAATAAAAAAATCTTCACTTGATCCTTTTGTGACATTTAGTTTCCAAATTTCTGAGAGTGAAAGGCATCTATGTCCATCCCCTAAACACTATGCACACTGTGTCCATTGCTGTAATCGTTTTTCTACTACATCCGGGTTTCCAGTGGTGTCTCCTCATTCCTTGCTCTCTAAGCGGGGTCATCTCTGGAAGCAACATGGCCCCTCCCTCTTGAGATTCCTCCCTTTCCCTTTTCAGTCCCACCCATTCTGGTCCAATTCCCACCTCCTGACTGTTCTTACTCTTCTGTTTCTCCCCTTCTTTCCCAGCCCCTACACTGCAGCTCACTGTCTATACGCTTCCCAAAGAGCACATCCAGACCCTGCTTGGTTATAACCAGTCTGTTTTTCACACCAAATCAAAGCTATGGAGTCCTTTGGGGAATCTTCCTTCTCTTTTATTTATGCTCAGTCCCCACATCCTCTGGAAACACCTGGAACCTCTACCGCCGGATTGAAGTTGCCTAAATCCTCACACTTGGCTCTTCCTCCCCCTTTCTGCTTCTATTCTAGGACCTTAAAATGCTCATCTAGAATCCACATCATCTTTGGATTGGCTGCCCGGCTGCTGAGCGCGCCCTAAGCGCTGCATACACTACCAGATCACAATATTTAAAAGGCCTCAGTAGCTCTTTATTTTTAGTATATCAATAACTATCATTTCTATCCGGCTTCTCAGGCCAGTATTAATCAGGCCTAACCTCATAGCTCCAGCCTTATTTTTTCTCCTACTGCATCACTGACAGATGAATCATAGCATTACAAATGCTTCTCTTAGCTCTGAATTCTCCCTAAGTGCTTTTAATGAGAAAATCAACCATGCTTCAAGACTCAGACCACATTCTTCCCTCTGAGCTTTTCCTTAACCAGCCCAGATGTTAACCCAAACCCAGAGGCTGTATCCACTAAACTCCTAAACACACTTTAAAATGGAATTTTAGACTACTCTTACAGAGTAGTCTCAAACTGATGATAACCAGGTATTTTTAAATATTTATCCACTCATAATGTGGAATTTTTGACAATATGGGTCAAATGGATAGCCATACATTGAGTGGTGGTTCCACTATTTATTTACTCAAAAAACACCTGTTTATTTGTTCAACAAACCCTAGGGGCCTAAGGAGAAGAAACAGCAGCTACCTGAGGAAGAAGATCACTTATCTTCCTGGGGAAGAAAATCACTTAGCTTCCTGGGAGGAAGATACTAGAGGCTAGAGGAACTCCAGCTACCTGAAGAGGAGGACTCTAAGTTCCTAATGAGAAGGACCCCCTAGCTGCCTGAGGAGAAAGACCTATATCTGCCTAAGGAGGATCTCTAGGTGCTAGAGGAGGAGGGCCCCCAGCTGTCCGAGGAGGAAGGACTTTAGTTGCCTGTTCCGAGGAGGCCCATAGTCTTAATGCTGAGAACAAGAGGAACTGGGAGGATGGACAGGCTTCACCTACTCATAGCTGTAGACAGGTGAAGATTTTCTGGAAGTGATGCTCTAAGCAACAATGGAAAACATGTCAGAATTTTCTAGGCTGAGTGTGAGGGGTTGCTGTAAGCAAAGAGGACAGCGTGTGAGAATAATGGAGGAATATTCTAGGAGTGACGTGTGAGTCAGCAGAGTGAGGGAGGAGGAAGGAGATAAGACTGGAGAAGTATACAGGGATTAGATCACAAAATCCAAAAAGATGGGGACCATAGCATGATGACCTGGTGATCCATAAAATTTGAGACTATTTAAACAGAGAACATCACAACTCTGGAGTTAGAGAGGGATTACTGGCAAAAATGAAAAGGAAGTAAGAAGAGGGCAGTCATGAGGATGAGAGAACTAGTTAAGAGGTCTGGGAGAAATCCAGAGCAGCCACAAGGAAGGCTGGAACTACTCCAGTCTTCCCAGAACTGGCCCTGTCACTCCTTCTCTCATTCCCTACTTAACGTCCTTGGATCTCATAGCAATAATTTCCTCTAAAGATAAGACTGCTCTTCATCTTCTTCCCATGTGCCTTATCTCTCCAGTGTACTATATTCCTCTAAGAGAAGACACCCTTAAGGTAGAGGCAGGACGAGGTCCAAATGTCTTTGCCAGTGGGTCTCTCACCTGGATGACTGGTGCATGCGGAGGGGAAGGATGAGTCCTCAAATAGGCTCTGAAGAATGGGAAGTAGTCATACTGACTCATCAGAAGTGCCAGAGTTTGGTTGAAGTCAGAGAAAGTCCATTTTCCAGAGATGTTCCAGCCTCCAAGCTGAGAAGAAGGTTGAGCATGGGATCTGTGAGACTTATCCCACATTATCTGGGTCTTTCCTTCCTCTTACAGCTTCTATCTCCTGATTTTTGGAGTTAGTACTTAGGACTTCACATCTATTCTTCTTTCTCTACCTTCCCAGGAGGTTATGATGCTCCACTGGGCATTACCATTACCATCTCCCTCCTAGAACTTAGAGAATCCTAGGACACAAGTCAACAGTATAAGAACAAATACCTAGCAACTTCAAGCTTACATCAGTCCTATGGGTTACTTCTCCTAAAAAGATGATGTCCCAACATTTCCTCACCTCCTCAATAACTTGTTTGAGGGGACCAGTTCCTGCAGCTTCAATGGCATCTGTGTCCATGCAGGAGCTATAGAATTGGAAGGCTTTCTCTTCCCCAGAGCCAGGATGCCAGGACCTTTGAGCCTCTAGAAAGGAAATATAGCACAGTAAAAGGAGTGGAGGCTGGTGTGGAGACAAACAGAGAAAAGTAGCGGGTAGGGAACTTGTAGGAAAGAAAGGGAAGCTTCCCGTAAGAATGTGCAAGACAGAGGAGAAACCAACTTGAGGAAAATAGAAGCCTACTCAATTTGGAATGAACTGACAGGATAGAAATGTAAAAGCAGAGAAAAGAAGTGCAGACAGGATGACGAGGAAATCAAAGGAAACAAGGACAGAAAATCAAGAATGAAAAGTCACAGAATAAAGGAAAAGGATAGGAAAAAGTAAGATATGAGTGAAGGACAAAGGCTATAAATGGAAGTCAGGGGAGAGATGAGTGAAACAATTAGAAAAATTTAGGAAATCAGAAGGTTTTGAGGGATTTCAGGAAAGAAAACTCATGGGGGAAGTCTAGTGATGAGAACAAATGAAAGATTCACTTAGTTCAAACTCTTCTTATCACTTGATCCCAAGAAACAAACCAACACACTACAGTCACTGAACCCATCCATCTAAACAATCCACCTGCTAGTGTCTAACACTACCCGCTCAATCCTCCTTCCACATCCAACCTCTTACATGACCTCAAGGCCATCTCTTGGTTCTTCTCGAGCAGTTGCTGTTCCTTCTTCTCACATTTTATCGGTGGAATCACTCTATACCTCCATTTACCTTGGCTCTCGTCTTACTCTGGCATATCCTTTGTTTCTATGCACCACCAGTAATGAACCTCTGCTCCTCCTCGCCCTACTCTCTTCCCTGTTTTCTCCCACCACAGTTCCCAATCCCTTATCCCTATGATTCCATTTGCTCCAGGTCAACTTGCTGGCCACAGCCCAAGGTTTCAGGAAGGAACTAAGAGGTCAATGGGATGAAGGGAACTTGGGAAGTGGAGGGAGAAGAAGGTGATGCTGATGTGGAGGCCCTGGAAGAGCGCATTTGGAAGCTGGAGAAGGAGAGTTTGGAGAAAACAAAGTTCAGGCTGCAATGATGAGAAGGAGGTGGAGGAAGACGAGCATAGGATGGAAATTGAAAATTCATAGAAAACAACAGAGATGAGACTTGTTGAAAAGGAGATGTTGAAGGAAATGGAGGAATCAAGGGTACATGGAAAAGAAAGGAGGATGGAGATTAAAAGAGGAAAAGATGTGTACAAAGACCGGCAGAGATGGAAGAAAGCAAGATTTTGAGGCAACAGGAAACTGACGAAGAAGCCAACCCAGACAGGTCCACAGAGGACGGTGCACACCAGTTGCTTGCTAGTTATTCAGAGCGTAGGGGCATCATGATGGTGCTAGACCATCACCTACTTGCCCAGTGAATCTGTCCCCCTGCTTTCCTACCCAGGAGTCTCCGCAGTAGGTTTTTGTTTTCATCTTCAAGAGCCTGAAAAGAATTAGTGATCTCTCCAGGTTCTCCACAGACAAAGCTGAAGAAGTTGGTGCAGGGGGCTGTGCTATTGTTCCCAGAGGCCAGGTAATAGTCCAGGAGATCCAAACACACAGGTGTCTCACAGGAGGCTGCGGGCAACAACGCACAGCTAGTGAAATGCGAAAGGGACAAGGGCTCCCCCAAGGGGCTGGCACTGGAATGGCCAGTGAGAAACAAAAGAGTGACCCCTTGGGCAAAAGGTCTGGCTAGAGGCTTGGCCCGGGATTCAGGGAGGTGGCAGTTGGAATCCCTGGGGAATTCAAGGGTCAGGGTGAGCAGCTAGTGAGAGGTCAGGAGCTCGGGAGCATGGACCTGGGACCAGGACCAAAAGAGGCAGCCTAGGTGGGGGTATCCCGGGGTCTTGCTTACGAGGTCCGCAGCTCGTGAAGATGTAGAACCAAAGCACAGCGGAACCAAGGAGCAGGCCAGAAAGCAGGACAGTCAGCAGTGCCCGCCTGGTCAGTGCCCACTTAGAGGGCAGCCCGTCTTCTGGAGAGCTCTGTGGGAGCAACCAGGAGGTGGAAACACAGACAGAGAGGGTTGGGAGAGAAGGACAGAGGGGAGACGCAGGGAGGGGACAGGGGACAAATAAGTTAGAGCCAGGGCCCCTCTGCACAGAGGGAACTCTGCTCAGCCTCTGGGAAGCACAGCCTTCAGACCCCTGGGAGAGGAGAAGGCACCTTCCTTGGGTGAGGATAAAGCAAGGGTGTCTGTACAGAGCTGGAGGGGAGAAGCCCAAGGCTGCACAGGAGCCCACTGACCTGCCGGGAGGGAGGCTCCATTCCACTGGCCAGACTCCGTCTGCTTGGCTCTTGCCTGCTTTTGTCCCCGCAACCTGAAGTGAAAAAAGAAGGAGAAGCTGGTTAGGAAGGGGGTGCATTAAGGACGGTCCTAACAGAACGTTCCAACGCCCCTCCCCGCCCACCTCCCCACATTCACATGTGCTTGCGTCCAGGCAGTGTCTCCAGATGGGCCCCAGAATGAAGCTCTCCCCTGGTCAAACCAGCTTCCCTCCCTCTCCTTCCCTGTCCTGGCCTGGCCCTGTCTGTTCTGGAAGCCTCCAGTGGGGGCAGGGCTCTCACACCCCCTCCCCCACCCTAGGCAGCCCGCTCCACCAGAGACCGTTTCTCCCGCGCACTCACCATCAGTCTGTCCTGTGCTCGGGCTCCCAGGAGCCTTCCTGGTGCTGCTCTAGGTGCTGGTGCTCAGGACTGGGATTGAGGAAATGGCTTCCCTTCTCCTCAGGCCCAGTTCCGTGTTCCCGGAGAAGGAGCAACTTCTGTCCCTCTACCACTCTGTCCCCAAACAGGCACTGTTGGCGCTGGGTGGAGCCCGTTTATCTGTGGGAGACACGCAGGCCTCTCCTTCCTGCTTATCTCAGCTTGTCAGGAGAGAAGATGGAGTCATCTTCACTGGGTGAGCAGACTTGAGCTTGGTTCGCTCCTCTTACCCTGCTCTGTGACTTGGTTCACTAAATTCCGTTATTTCCAGAATATTCTTCCCCCTCTCTCCTTTCTTCTCTGCCTGAAATCTCATGGTTTCTTTCATTCCCAGGTCAAATGTCATCTTACCCGCCATAGTGGAAAGTCCCTAGTCCCTCTTTGTGGTTAGTTGGTATCCCTTCTCCACTTAGGGCCTTTTTTTAATTGGTTGAGGCCATTCACACCCTTGCTCCACTCCCATTATCAGAAGTGACAGCTTGTGCTGGCTCGGCCTTCCTCGAGTGATGCCCCCTCTGCTCGTATCTGACTGCCTTCCTACAACCTCTGCTCTGACAGCTGCCTCCAGAGCACAGCTTCTCCTTCTGTTCCCTGTCCCCACCCAGCCAGGCCCAACCTTGGAAGGCCTGCAGACGCCACTTGGAGCTGGGTGGTGAGGAATGGTGCACCGAAGGCCAGGGCTCAAATGTGCCTTTGCAGACGCTGCTTCCTGCTGTCCTTAATTCTTCTCTTCCATCTATTCGAATCCCCAGATCTTTTGCTTAATGCACAAGAACATCAAAATATCAATAGTAATAATAACAACAGCATCAACTTTTGAGCCCTTATGAGCCCTTATGAGCCAAGAATGTATGAAATGCTTGGTGCGTATTTTTTTCTTTGATCCTCACAGCAGTTGTATGAAGGAGGCAAGTTATTATTTTCTCTATGTTACAGCGAGAGAGCTGTGCTATGTGGAAATGCAGTGTTTATTCAAAGTTATAAAATCAATAATTATGAGAACTAGGAATTAAAACAATGCCTTCATAATTGAGCCTCCCAGGCATTAAGCTTCATACCTTTGGGGGGGATTTCTTTATAATCAAAGTCTTGCTCTGTTTAACTTGCCTTTTCTTTCATGGCTTCGACTTTTTCTGTGATGGTTTTAGTGGCCATTATACTCAAAATTGTCAAACATACAGTTTTATCCTATGATATCCTACATAATCATTTACTGTCTATGGTGCTTAAGGTATGATAATGAAGGACAAGACATTTAACTACATAAGATAAGAGTGGTAGCCTAGGTCTATAATCCCAGCCGTAAGGAGGCTGAGGAAGGAGGATCACTGCAGTATGAGGCCAGCCTGGGCTACATAGCAAGTTCAAGGTCAGTCTAAACTACATAGCAAGACCCTGTCTCATAAACAACAACAACAACAAACAAAAAAAAGAAAGAAAGACATTGAACTGCATAGTGTGACACCCAGCTGTGTATGTATACCTGAGGGAATTTACTTCCAAGATCATTTGATCACAGTGAGAGCAACTAGGAAACTGTCTACCATGAGTAATTTACCTGATTCTGAGGGAACCACAGTAATTCTTGATATCACAATAGTATTAACGACTTTGCCAAGAAGACACGGACCACAGGACACGGGTGTGGGGATACTAAAATTGCTTTTTGAAAAGAAGGTACCTAATAATACTCTATTACATGGATGTGATCCTCCAAGTGGCTTGCAGCCTCACAAGACATCTCAGGCCCTATGACAGTGTGGCACTTCCTCATCTATGGACTTTTGAATAACTTACCTGCTCACAACATGGGCAAAATGCCATCTTATCTTGTATGCAGAAAATAAAAATTTGTAAGACTCTAATCATTTCAATATACTTCTTCTTCTGACTCTTTGCTCTGCCCTTTCTTTTCAGCCTACCTGTCTGTCAGACTTGAAGGCTGAGCTCCTACACAGAGTGGGGACACTATAGGGATTTTGGCTTAAATATGCACCTTGGGTCTTTCTCACCTGGAAGACTCAGGTAAAATCTTATTATCTTTTTTTTTTTTGTCTTTTTGAGACAGGGTCTCACTATGCAGTTCAGGCTGAACTTGAGTGCACTTTGTAGCCCAGGCTGGCCTCGAACTCACAATGACCCTCCTGCTTCAGTCTCCTGAATGCTGGAATTACAGGTGGGCACCACCACGTCCAGCCTATTATCCATTTTAATAGCCATAAATCCTTTTAGTTTCATTACAAATTGTAAAAATTATCTTATTTTAATAGCAAATAAAATTTATTTATATTACTTGTGTATAGTATGTTTTCTAAAATATGTACATATGTGAAATGTTTAACTCAAGCTAATTAATATATTTTTTGCAGTGAAGACCCTTAATCTATCCTCTTTGCAATTTTCATGAATATAGTACATTGCTATTACGTGTAGTCAGTGTTACACAGTAAATCTCTTGAACTTGTTTCTTCTTAACTCAAATTTTGTATCTTTGATCAGCAAGTCCTCAGCGGGCCGCTCCCAACCCTATCCTTGGGTAACAGCCATTTTATACTCCACTTGTGTGATCTCAACTTTTCACAGTCCACATGTTACTGAGACCAACAGTGTTTGTCTTCCTGTGCCTGGCTTATTTTACTTAACATAATATCCTGCAGATTCATCCGTGGCATTCCTAATGACAGGGTTTCCTTCTTTTAAAAGACTGACTAGTACTCCATCGTGTGTCAGTACCAGATTTCCTATGCCAGTTCATCTGTTAGTGGACTCCTATGTCGATTCCCTGTCCTGACCATTGTGAAGAGTGCTGTGGTGGATGTGAGAGTGGAGATGGTGCTTGAACACCATTGTCTTTGGACAGCTGTTTTTTTGGTTTTTTTTGGTTTTTCTCCGGTACCGGGAACCGAACTCATGACCTTGCGCTTGCCAGGCAGGCGCTTTGCTGCTGGGCTAAATCCCCAGCCCCCACCATTGTCGTTGGGGTTCAGTGCTCTTAGCATTGCTACAAAGAGTTCTAATCAACAGATATGTAAAGATTAACTAAAATTAGTGCTCAAGAGTGTCGGAACAAAATATATATGTTTGCATTTGAAGGCGACTTTTGATTTATATTTGACTGGGGAAGAATTCATATTCTTTAAGGTATGACAAGTTAGATCCACTAGTGATATATGTGTAGTTCTTGTGTATAGGTTAATGTTCTACTATAGACTCATCACTCAACTGCAATGCGGGATTTAAACAGTGGTGAAATAACCATATTTCTTGGCAAAAACTATCAGCTGTTTCTGGTCTCCTGTATGTCCAAGTACCCACAATACTTGATCTGATTCCTTGACCCTCAAGTTTGAATCTCTGCCACTGTTTGTTAGCTGCTCACTGAGTTTGTTGGCACAGAACAGGAGCATTTTACTCTAAGTGAAAAAGAACTGACAATAGACATACCTAAAGCTATAATAACTAGAATGTTGTTCATAACTATTTTTTAAAAATATAAGCTCCTAATTGTCCCACCACACAGACATAGTTAAATGGTGGGTCTAAACATTTCTATACAATTAAATATGTGCAAATGAATATCAAATATAACTGAAATGCAGAGTCAAAAGTAGAATGGTCATTTCCAGGCCAAGGGAGGGGAGACGGAATTTGGTATTTACTGGGGCAGCACTGCAGTTTGGAGAAACTTCTGGAGATGGATTGTAGTGATGGCTGCATAGCACTGGGAATATATTCAATGCCACTGAATTTTACAGTTTAAAGTTAAAATTGTAAATTTTATGCTACGTATATTTTACCACAACTACATTTTTTTAAAAAAAAATTATTAAATGAAATTAACAATTATAGACCAATCACCAACCCTGAAAGCTCTTTCGCTTACTCTTTCTTATTCTTTTTTCCCTGCAATTTAGTTCTTTAACTCTCCCTAAAGACACACACACACACACACACACACACGTCTCTTAAAGGTTATATCCTGGTCCATGACTTTCTGTCTCCTTTACTATCTAAATTTTACCTTTCCCTGGAATTCTTCAAAAGACCTTCTGATGTGCTCGCCCTCTCCCCTCTTCGGATCTCTGGCCCACATACTCCCTAAGGTGTGACCTCCTCCAGCCCTCTTCTGTCACCCTCGACTCTGCGATTCTTCAGCTGATATAAAGTAGACACACCCAGTAAATATGTCCAGTGGATTTCTCAGATAGATGTGGCGTAATCTAGTTTAAAAAGCAGAAATTTAAGGCCTGGATGGCCCCGAATTGGCTTAAATGTGATTACTAATAGTTTATATTCATATGAACTTATAGAAAATCTGTCTGTATCCTTAATTGTCTTGTCTGTAAAACAATTCCACCTCCTTTGACAAGACTGATGTAAGGACCAAATAAAAAAATAATGTGTGATTTGTTCATTGTTCTGCATATTATAGGCAAATAACTAATGATGGTTGTCATCACTTGTGTGTGTTTACTTATGTTGTTTCAGAGTTCCTGAGCACAGCACTATAATGTCAGACTATTTATGCAGTGAAGATCAGAGATGGTGAACCTACCTGGCTTTTCTGCTCTGAGTTTGTCTGACATGTCAGTGGAATACAAGGGCTAAGAAGTCACTGAAAGGTTGAAGAAAGAGGAGAAGTCGGACTTCTTTTCAAAGAGCTTTGAGATACTGTGGTTTTTCTTTCCTTCATCATGAATCCAATTTACCTCTCACCTCCAGCTGAATAAGAAAGTTCAAGAAATTAATTTGGATCATGTCCCATATAGGAAAGAACACATGAGTCATTTCTGAAAACTGTAAAGTTGTGACTGCCAGGTAGCCTCGCTTATGTGGCACAGCAGGGACCCCACATCAGATGTGCACTTTCCAGGTTTTCTTGGGGGGTCCTTGTAGGATGGCTAGCCATGACCTGCATTGAAATACATACGCTGGGGTGCTTCCTACAGGAGAAAGACTCCCCTGCAGGATGAGGCTGGACATACGCTCCTGGTTGAAAAGAAGAAGGAAGATTATGAACAGCAAGCCAGGGAAACATGGTCCAATTCAGAAGGCTTTAGTCAAATACTGCTAGGAAGATTAACTCTCTGAAGCCCCTGAGTGTCCCAGCAGAGACACAAAATCTAAGACATCATTCTTCTTCTGTAGGATCCAGAATCAGATTAAAAATAAAAGCTAGTCCATCTCATACTTCTTTCTCCCAAGCTCCAACTTAGAAGAAA